AACAGGCCTAACCAACTACCAGACTCGGCACCTAAGGATTCTGAATTAACCGGTAAATCGGACCACACTACCCGTTTTCATGTTGTGTGTCAGATCGCATATCGGAGTATCATACCCTAGAATAATTTTTTTAGGACGACTGCGGGCTCATCCACGCTCGGCTGAACAACCTTAAACTGTACTCTTACTTTAGACCACAGTGGAAGTAAAGAACAGAAGACTCAGATGTGGTGTAACTCGCGTAACCACACTTCTCGCAAGAATGCGTTAATAACCCGCTAATGGACCCGTGGTCTAAATAAGATAGACCCCTCGTCAGACGAGGGGTCTATCTATTACTTAGAGTACTCCATTTCATTTTCTCTATGGGGGTATATGGGGACTTTACGACATTCGGTTTGAATGTTTTAACCACTTTTGATAGGGCTTTTTTGCATTGTATTAGATTGATGTGGCAGTCTAAGGTTCATCTAGGTGGCTTTCAAATTTATGCCCTCGGTTTTAAAATCATATAGTGATTAAATACGACAGTCGTTTACTATATAATCAAGGTGACAGCCGAGCGTGGGCTTATCCTGTCGGTGTTCTGACTGATACTCCGAAATGCGATCTGACACACACCTTGAAAACGGGTAGTGTGGTCCGATATACCGGTTAATTCTGGATCCTTAGGTGCCGAGTCTGGTAGTTGGTTAGGCCTGTATATGGCAAAGTGTGTGTGTGTGTGTGTGTGTGTGTGCGTGTGTGTATGCACGCGCGTTACATGTGTGTGTGTCATCTGAGAAAAGATCCCACGCTGCGGTGGTTTGTTTAAGGTGCTCGAACAGTATAATCTAGATCATCCAATAGTTTTATTATCCTTAAATTTAATTTTCATAAATTTTTTTCCATTCTTTTCTTTTAAAAAGCGATATTGTAATTTTCAGGTATGGAGATGACATACGACAGCCTTGCCAACTATTGATCATGGTTACATTTTGTTTCCGTTTGTGAAGCAGAGACAGATTTTTTCATAATAAACATCAAAAACCCTTCATTTCTAAATATCAAAACTTGTCTATGTTTATATAAGAACAAGTGCCAAATCGATTGTTCACTTACAAATGCAAGGAGAAAGGACACGCAAAGAAAACGTGAGGCATGGCACACGGAGCCTGGTAACTGTACACGCGCAGAATCATGGTACACAGGACCATGCTACAAATGTCAAATCATGTTGGACAGGATTAAAGTACATACGTAATGCCCTGGTACAGAGGGTCTTGTACTAATCGAGTCATCAGATTGGTGTATTCCACACAATACAGTGGCAAGAACTACATTCGTAACATTGCCCTTATGTTACCCATATACTACTACAAAATTTGTCTGTGTAGAAATATGTTTGAAAATTAGTTGATCTTGATATTAGAGCATATAGTGTATGTTTAGCTTACATTTCTAGTGATACTTACTTTGTAAAGCCAACTTCTGCCTCTTCTGAATCCCGATAAGGAAATGTTCTACTCTTGTTAAACAGGTTTGTGAGACGTTAAAACAATGTGATTTCTCGTTTGGGTTTATAACGAATGTTGCAACTGTTCATGACTAAAGGCGTCTTTCGCTGCACGCATGTTTTCTTCAAAATTATAGAAGTGATTTTCTTTTTTTCAATTTTGTGGCCCGTAGAGGCGTTGAGGATCAGCGCAAATACGATTACCTGCGAAAAATACACCGCCATTTTTCAGTGCTCTTTCATGAAGCACTGTGATATTTTTTTCAATTTCGTCGAAGAATTGCGGAGGTTTGTTTAAGGTACCTGAACATCTTGATAATCCAATAGCTTTATTATTCATCTAATCTTAATATTGTAATTTCCAGGCACAGAGATAACACACAGTTCTATAAGTAACGGTTTGATAATTAATAGATATAGATACATACCATTTACAGGGTACTATCGTGAAATAAAGAAATATGTTTCCCTAATATATATATATATATATATATATATATATATATATATATATATATATAATTTGAAATAATATAAACTCCTCTTATATTTAAACACAATCAATTGTTGTATTGACTGTTCATTTAACGTGAACGTGAACAATGAACGTGAGTGGAAAGAAGCTAGTGCATCACTAATATATATGTCATGAAATCAAACAAAAATACATTGGCCATTCTGATTACGCACAGCGTCATTTATCTAAAGAAATGCAATGTACCTCGTGTAGAAACCAACAAACTATATATTAAAAATTGTACGGCAACGTCTTTCATTTTTTTATCATTCTGTTTGTGTATTGAAGCAAGCACTCCCAGTGTTTCTTAAGAATTTTGTAAATTTCCAGTTAGATGTAAACAATGTTGCAAAGCATAAGACGAAATGACAGCAGAACCATTTGTTGAGCCAACACGATACGACCCCTCTGCTCTGTATATAGTCTGCTCTGTATATAGTCAGTTTATTGTCCGCCCTACAGAATGGCCTTCTCCAATCCTAACATAGGCGCCTCAAACACCATGGAGACCACGAAGGCGCAACCGTATGACATCACGAGGTGCCCGAAGAAATAATAAGTCTGAAAAAATTGAAGCCAAAACAAATTAACGAACAGATATTTTTGAGATTCACAAAACATCTCTCACAATATAAATATTTGACTTAACAAAACTACAAATACATTAAGATTATTTGATTTTTTTAATACAGTAAACGAAAAGGCCAGTATGTCAACATTCATAATTTATCTCCTGCAATTGAGGCAGATCAAGACTTTTAATTGCGTCACTGTGATAATCTTAACAAGAAAGGAGTTTACCATGGTCATGTCAGTTGCAAAAATAGTTTCCTCTTTCATCTGATAGACCGCAGACATGATAATGGGGTGGACAAGGTAGGCACAATAGGTCAGTCGACTTAAAGGTACGAAAGCATTCCAGGACAAAATATCATTGACAATACCTGTAAATGTGAATTAAAATGTTGTTCATCTTCTTAATGCAAAAGGTATGAAATGAATGAACAGAAGATATTCATGAAAATTCCTTTTAAAGAAACAACAAAAAAAAAATGTCTTTTATTTTAAGTTAAAATTTTTATACTTGAAACGGCTGTTGAATTATTTTTCATTTTGGTTGTCAGTGAAAAAACTTGCTCTGTTCAGAGAAAATCATACAGCCAATAGTACTCTGAAATTAGTGCCAAGTTACCAGTACATACCCCCATAACCGGTGCAGCAGGCATAGATCACCCAAGCTACGCATGCGCCCCATAGTGTCCTGGACGTGGCATTGTATAGTGCTGCCACCTGGTAATTCCACGGATGACCATTGATGTGACCATACAGACCAAACACTAACCAGGCTAATATCGCTATGGTGACAGCCCAGGCAACCAATGCTACGACCTGAAGTCAATTTACGAAATTGTTATGTAAAGTTCGGTTGAAATCCCAGTTATCTAGCAAAGTATTGTTGGTGTAGTTGGTGCCGAAATAGTTTTGAAAATTATAAAAACGGTTTTGGCTAATTGTGTAAAATGCACTCTAAAACCATATACAGACGTACACCTTAGAAGCCTGGATCATTTAAAAACAGTAAACGATGAGTTATAGTGCTATCTGCATAAGATAATTAAACATAAATGCATGGATATTGATTCACCGGTTTCTCTGTCTCAATGATAATAATTTTGAAAGTTACAATATAACAAGTATGGTATAATATTATTTCCACATGGATATCATCGAACATCAAATAATGTTATTGTAATACAAAGTAAATGATATATCTGCCATCGTGACCTATGTAATCAACTACAGTTACCCAGTTTGCCTTGGGTTTGCACTGAGTGACGTGTAGTACATATCCAGTTGCCATTCCTACAAGGTATGGTCCTATTCTACACCAAGGCTTGATGTACATGATGTGGTAGTAATAGTTGCGGATATCTCCCCTTAAGAGAAGAAAAAGACTTTGTTTCATTGCCACACTGTGAGTACTACCATGAATATTGATATATATTGCAAATTAACGATGTGTTTAATTTCAGAGAGCGTCTACTTTATCAATTTCTGTTTTTATTACTTTCTGTCTTTGTATTTAGGGGAAATGACTTTATCAATTATAGTATCGTCGTAGGTCGGTTTTGGTCATATCTTTGCTTTTTCATACATATTATGCCAATTCCACTACAATCAGTACAATACGATATCATTCTGGTAATTCCTATCACTTAAGGTATCTCAGCGATATATCATGTAAATTAAACTCACGTATTCAATTCCATTCCACCGGGTCCAAACTCATGGTAGGCCGAGACGAAACCAGATGATATCCAACAGCCTAGCAATAACAGAAACATGATGACTGCGCCGGCAATCCTACTCCTAAAACGGATATTTTTTGTTAAGATTAGTAATTGTTTCTTCTATCAGACTTTTATAAATATTTTTAACTCTCACGAAAAAGAACCGGACGTAGCAAAAGAGGCGATAAAAGTACTACCAATAAAAATGGTATATACAACAATATTGGGTTAGACGTTTGAAAGAAACGTAAAACTGTCTGATGAATACACTAACACAGAGAGAAAAAAAAACCTTTGTACTGGAACATTTTTCAAGAACTCTTATGCCTAACGCATTATGCTTATGTGTAATGAGTTAGAGCAGGCCGGAATATGGAATGCACCAAGAAGTACCGGTATTTGTACTTACCAAAACAGAGGCAGTAAGATAAAAGGTGTTATCACAAAGAATTGCATGTCATTGGCCAAATACCACGACCATCCCAAACACTGGAAATAAAGATAACAAAGTATAAATTTACGTCACCAAGAGTAAACAGTGCTCCGGGGAATGGCACAGAGCTTTCACAGTTTCCAGTGTCCAGTAATCCAGAAGATCCACATGTACGAAATACTAATTCCATGGTTAACATACAGTTGTAAAATTACCTACCATCTTGTCAGTGTTCACTACATTGTTGATGTATAGTAAGTTAGTCCACCAGGAATCTCTGCAGTATTTTGCCACACTTTCCCCTGCCCACATAGGTCCATTAGACCAGTATCTGCACGTTGCGGCGTACACCAATATCACTAACATGTACGGCGGGGTCAGCCTATGAATTGGTGTTAATAATGATTAAATTATTTTGTAAATTTACACAAAACGTGAGAGCTATGGACAAATTACTTAAATATTCAATTTTCTAAAATATTCCAATTTATGGAAACATCATAATGCTTAAAATATACTCATGTTGTGAGTAGGATAATGGTGATTTAATACAAACATACAATCGCAAATGTCTAAAATATTCTACAGACCTCCAAAACCTGTGGAAATAATACATTCCCCAGTTTATCCTGAGCATGCGCAGTTTTCCTCTTAATGTTCCCTTCGTCATTTCACGCATGGCTAGATATGTGACAAGTAGGCCACTGAAAGATAATTTGTTTTACATAAATATTTTGTCTTAATTACTAAAAAAAACAATTAATTAAAGGATAAATCGATTACGAAACTAGTCAAAGATTTTCATAAATAAGCCTTATGTTTTGCAAATGATATAGTTATTTGACACTTGTGAAATTAATTTTTTGACACAAGTAATTCGCGAACGATGCCAATAAATACTTGTAAAGATCTAACCTCATGACAAAAAATGTATCAACCGCACAAGTCGCTTGGAGCACTACTTGCATGGACTTGCGCTGTACAAGGCCGTACTCATAGTACGCAATATTCTCTAAAATGGATACAATACCTTGAATAATTGCGCACAAACGCTCAGAGACGCACACACAAAGATCCAGTACATTATTCTTTCTAGTATGCAAATGTTTCTATTCCGTTTTTTTCTCTTTCATTATAAACTATTGTGCAATTAATTATTTTCCTATGGAATGCAATGCAATGGTTTACTCCAATTCTGTATGTAAACGTTTTCTAAACAAGTGGTATAAACGTTCCAAACTCACATCTTATAATCAGTATTACAAAAATAAATTTCAAAACTTGGCAGCTACTGTGATATACCTCCAGATTTTTGCTGATATTCCGCAAAACAACAATTTTATCCCAGTTATCAATTCTTAAATGTGTACTTACTAACTTGACCAAACATATCATAGAACGTATGACCCCAAATAACCCAAGTTAGGCTGAGGAACCGGATACCATTGAGACAATTCAGAGCACCAGACGGTTGCTTGGCACTTAGGACCTTGGCTGCATTGGTGTACACAGAGAAGGCTATAATGACTTTGTGAATTATGCCTGAAATAGCCAAATACGCCTTGACCACAAGAACATGTTATGTTATCAACAGAACAATATAATCACACAGCCCAACAATACTTAAGTTTGATAAAAAGTACCTAAAAAGATGAAAACCGAAGGTAAGCTCTGTAACATGCTTCCAATACCGAGCACAATGTATATAAGAACGGAACTTTAACATGTATATAAAGTCTGCGTAGGACAAACACATGGAGCTAAGAATCAATTCCTAAAAGTGCATATTTTAATAAAGACAAAACGCAACGATTTGTGGAGGCAACTTTATGAACAAGTGTACGGATTTCCATGGCAGTGATAAAAAGTGTAATCTGCAAACAAAAATTATAACATTATTCTCATCTTTTAAATCAATCGTTTATATCCATTTCATGTCGATTACCTTTTTCTCTTGGTGGGGCAGGTAGATTACAAGACGGAGATATAGCGGAGTAGCCATCTCCTTGAACTGTAGAAACCCTTTCCCCTGTGTCGTCACATGGGATAACCTGCTGTGCTGTCCCTGACGTCAGCAACCTTTGATCGATGACGTCATACATAGTGGCCAATAAGACCAAGAGCAAAAGTGTCCCAGTTATACACCTGTTTTAAAATACAATAAGGAATAATTTAAATAGTTCCTTGTTTAGCCGGGCAAGTTTCTATTTGTATCTGCGAAGGATTTTTTTTAATTCGGCTTCTTCACTTAAGATATTTTTCAAGTTAACTGTTGGCAGTTTTACGTTTTGTAGACGTTTTTTCAACATCTTACCTAATTGAAAGTATTTCAAAGCACGAAAACCTTGAGGTAGTTTCAAAATAACCCGACAGTTATATTTGCTGTCAATACATTTGCGCTGTTGTGATTTCCTTGTAGACATTCTGAAATACGTACAATGCTGCAATAGCACCGGAAGTCCAAGGTAGCTCTTTTGGTTTGCAGGAAACGGGCACCATCTTTAGATTTAACACTGAAAGTGTGATACGAATTTTTACATTATGTTAACATGATTTTAAAATCTGATGTTAATGGAGCAAAGGATGGCCAAGTTTTTTGCTTCCAAGTTTTTGGAAGAGTACCTGAAAAGAGGCGTATAACAAGTTTGTTGCCCTTCTGTATCTTTGTCACCAATTGACTGAAAGGAGTGTGCATGGCACAATAGTAATCTAATGGATTTAATTCAATAAACCGTGCCTTGTAATGGTTTAAAAGTGGAGCAGAGTGCAAAGACAACGTGTGTAACACTCACTGTTATCAACTATGGTTCTGATATCTTCCCCACTACAGCCACTTGGGACACAGATCCCCAGAGTTAGTGACACGGAATGGCCAACCTGCAGTGTAGATTAATACACGTTTGTAAGCACTTAAGTGTGATGAAGACCAATATAGAGGTAACACTCATCTCACTCACTACTATCTGTATTTTTCACAATTTACTCACAATTTTATACGTACACAATTGTTTGAAGATACATTTGTATGCAAGTGAGTACGAATGCACACAAATAAAGCATACAACTCTCTCTCACAGATCAATTACAAAACTAACACACACACACACACACACACACACACACACACAGAGAGAGAGAGAGAGAGAGAGAGAGAGAGAGAGAGAGCTCTGAGACAACACAATGAATTTTTATAATACTCACAAGACTTTGAGGCACAGAAAACTTTGCAGTACAGTACTGTCCCTCGAAGGAATCCTTAACTTCAAAACTCTGACTAGAATTAAAGCCAGCGCTATCGTTGTAATGTAAACTGGCCTGAACTTTGTTGCACTCGCTGTACGAGCCGTACCAACGCGTATTGCCGTCTAACATCCCGCTTCCCATTTTACCCGTGGCATCCAGCACTACAAAAACATTTGGAATGAAGGGCTTATTAATTATGCTAAAATAATGATTCCAGGTATATCAACGGTTTACATGATAAGTATTTTTCAAGGGGACAATAACCAAATCGGTATACAAGTATATATGTTATCACTTTGTATATTATCAATTTGTTTTAAAATACAAATTTTACTATACACACTTGCACAGAAAGACCGTCACAACTAATAAATCTAAACATTTTGTTGCAAATATCAATTTTCTTTAGTGCATAATTGCAGATAAAAATGTTTCATCGTTGAACATGCAAAAAAAAAAAAAAAAAAAAAAAAAAAAAAAAAAGAAAGAAAAAAAAAACGCGGTAATACTCCACACTTCCTGTGGATTTTCAATATGTTCCTAGCTCTCTTGCATAGAGATTCTATTCTCATTTCAGCTGGATAATTCTTCATGGGACTGCAATCAATTCCAATTTTCAAACTAGCGAACTAGTATTCATATAAATAGGGGGGGTGTACGATAAGAATCCTCTACGCTCGGTTCTACTGTTGGGCTCCTTTGGGTTTATGTTAGGCTGGGCTTTTGACAGGTTGCAGGTTCAAAAGCATAATGTTGTTTTGTTCATAAAATCTCTCACCAAGCGGATTTGCGGCAACTTTGCTTTTGAGTACTTTAAATAACGGTTGGTACGCCAAGCCGTCTAGAAATGTCGCATTTGTTGAGGCGCGCGCTCACACACACACACACACACACACATGCACTGTGTGGGTACAGTGATTCTCCAGTTCCACTTGAAGTACGCCGATTTTTAGTGGAGATAAGATGCTGAAAATTTATACCATTTGTGCGTGAACTTGTTCATTGCTGAAGTGTCCAGATTTATATCGGAGATAAAAGTTGGGGATTTATAGCGAATGGAGGAGCACTGATTCTTTGCCAGTTAGCAGAGATATTTATGACATAACATTTTTAGAGAAGATAAGATGCTGAAAATTTATACCGTTTGTGCATGCACTTTGTCATTACTGAAGTGTCCAGATTTATATCGGAGATAAAAGTTGGGGATTTATAGCGAATGGAGGAGCACTGATTATTCGCCAGTTAGCAGAGATATTAATGACACAACAAAAAGACAGACCAAAGGGGTCAGGACAGTAAAATGAAAGGTGGGAGGAGCAGCATGCCTTGTTAACATAGTATATGGCTAGAAGGAGTAACACTTCCTCCCAAACCAAATATAGAGGTGCAAATAAGGTAACATGAACGCTCTTAAAAAATATTTATTACACTGATTGCAAACTGTTTGATTATTTTAGGGTCCCACATGAAGAATTTTGTATCAAAGTTTTAATCTTCTGGAACCATGAATGATAAAAATAATTCACTGTCTTACCCCAAAAAGGAAAATACGATACTGTCACCAATGCAAAATGTCAAGCTGTGGAAAAGTTTTGCTCAAAAAAAATTTTGAAAATTCAATCATCACTGGTTTTGTTCTTTGGTTTATTTCCTACAAGTACAGCGTTGTTAAATCATTATTTTTATGTAGAGCAGTTAATTGTTTTTGATAATTTGTTTAGTTTCCTTGTCTTGAATAACAAAAATGGGGGAATACTACTGATAGTAAAATAAGCATTGAGTCAACTATTTTCCATTCTTGTTCTAAATATTGTATCATAAATGTGAAACTATGATTACAAATTTGAATTATTACAATTTTTTTTGACATTGAAAATGCTCCTCTATATTTGGTTTGGGTGTCATGCCGACCTTAATTACTATGCTTAGCATGCTTAGCACACCCAAATGCAACTTTCGTCAAGCAATAATTCCATGCTAAGACACACGGTGCAACTTTCAGAATAAAATAGATTTTCCACAAGAAGTAAATTGATATACCTGTTGTAGCCTATGCTCTGTCGCAAAGAGCACGTAAAGCCTAGATAACATTTGCCACGGGCGCCGTACGATAAAATCGTACACGATTTGCGTGCGTTACTTAGGACATAGAAGTGGCCACAGGCAAATTTCACGCTTCTGTCCCGTGATCAATTAAATAACCGATAAATGACAAAATACGAATGATGGCTCCCAAAGATGTAAATTTTGCTTTGCACATGTTTTATTATATATGCCAAAGTGTTTTTAAGTTCTACAGTGGAGCAAATTGCCAATTTGCCCAACTGAACAGATTGGGGCATGCAAATCTGTTGGCGTATTTTCTACGATGTTATGACAAATAAAGTATTGATTACATTGTCTTTTATATCAAATAAAAGTGTGTGCTACGTATATTTGCATATTTGTCTGTGTATAGATGGCAATACGTTGGTTTTATATGGATTAAATTTATTGTTATATAAGAGTAACTCTTCAGAGGTAAGTATTGTGTGAACTTATTATATCTATAGTGCGTTTATTTACATTTGGCATTTTTATTTGGCAAACCTGCATATACAGTATGATGTACATTGTAAATGAAATCAATTTTCCACTCAATAAAGTTACTCACTTCGTAGAGCCCACTTCTGCCTCTTCTGAATCCCGGTAAGGAAATGTTCGACCCTTGTTAAACAGGTTTGTGAGACGTTAAAACCAAGTGATTTCTCGTTCAGGTCCTCAACGAATGTTGCAACCGCATCGTCCAGTCCATCAAGACCAAGAAATGATCGAAATAACTTTTGTCTGTTTCCGTCATGTTCACGACTAAGGTCGACTTTCGCTTCATACACAACTTCCCCAATATTATAGAAGTGATTTTGTTTATCAATTATTTCGCCCGTACAAATGGTGAGGGTAAGTACCACTAAGAGTACTGGCGAAAAACACTCTGTCATTTCTGAATACTCGTCACCGAAACGTTGTAACCAAAAATATTCAATCCCACCAAAGGACTTTAACAAATACTACCCCTGCCGACTACCAATGTGGCATTCTCATTCGCCGGAGTACCGCCCACACGTGACACCCAAAGGGTTGGTATAGAGGTCACATGACGTCCAGTCTCTTGATCAGCTGACATGAACACGTCGGTTACCTCTTGGCTAGATGAATTACACAGTAGTGTGTGTGTGTGTGTGTGTCATCTGCTTTATTATCCTAAGATATCATTTTATGAAATTATTAATTCTTATCCATTTTTGTCTTATATATATATTTTTTTTTTCGGGTATGGAGATGACATATAATAGTCTTAGCAACTGTTGATCATGGTTACATTTTATTTCAATTCATGAAGTAGAGACATTTTTTCTCTTATATCTATCAAAAATCCTTTATTTATAAATATAAAAACTCCTATGGTTAAATACAAGTGATATATCGATTGTTCACTTACAAATGAGCGTGGGTGGAAAGAAGTTAGTCGAACTGCCATATGTTAAAAAATTGACTCGCCCATTTACGCACAGCGTCATTCATCAAATAGTATAAATAAGTATAAATCGCAATTAAAAATTGTATGTTCAAATAAAATGCATTATTCGTCTCAAATATTAAACATTTTTACACTGACATCAATTAACTGAAGTCCTTTTAAAAAAACATACATACTCCGTTTATATTGGCACCATAAGAATTTAAATAACAATCAAAAGTCTGCATTCAAATATAAATAAAAAGTCTCCAAATATGGATAAGCGTGCATACTGTAAGAACAGTCCCATTTCCGAGGTAATGCATCATGACCATTACTTAAATTGCATTGTCGACCCGGGGCATGTTATATGATACACAACTACTTCAAGAAAGTTGCCCATTTGATTTTGTTATTATTACATTACGTAACTGTGAAAAACTACCCCTCTTTAGCCGATTCAGTTGTTGCAAGTGATTAAGCAGAAACTTTATAAGAAATCTAAAAGCTGCACTTGGGAATGTAGGATCCCATTGGATTTAAGTTTGGTTAAAAGTAAGAATGGATAGAAGATCAGCTTTGCCTTATACGGATTTGTTCCTCTGCTCCATGTATTTCCAGCAGTCTATGCTGACTTTTCCCGCCGTAATATAGCTTTTTCAAGCCCCATCATTGGAGCTTCAAAGACCATGGATACGATGAAAGCACCGGCAAACGACGCCACTATGTTTCCAAAGTAAATATATGTCTGTAAATATAAATATTTCATAAGCATTTACAATAGAAAAAGCCATTGCATTAAAAGACATAACAAGAGATATGAATGTGAAAAATCGGGGTTAAATCAATTTCGACACAAATGTATAATGGGCCCTCGCTACGAGAAAAATAATCTAAAACTCACCATTGTCACATCTGTGGCATGTATGAGCGTCTCTCTCCCCACATATACCACATACATAATGATTGGATGGATGAGATAGGCACAGTATGTCAGACGACTCAGAGGTACAAACGCCTTCCAGGACATTAAGGTGTTCACGAACCCTACAAGGTAAATATCACAGAATAATTTAAACACATTTCCCATGTGTAAAAATTTAGAAAGGTATCTGTATGAATGTACTATCAACTTCGCTTAAACGTTAGCACTGCGAAATGGGCATATGGCAACGTATAAGCCTCATAACGAACACGTAGTATCCTTATAATGTATTTATGTAACTGATAAAATAACTATATATATATATATATATATCACATAGAGGACAAAATGTAAATGCTTACCTCCATATCCAGTACAGCAGGCGTATATAACCCAACCAACACACGCACCCCAAGCGGTTCTTGAGACTGCGTTGTAAAATGCGCCAACATCGTTACTGAGCGGGTGACCTTGGTAAACGTCATAAAGGCCGTATACCAGTGCGAGGGCAGTTGCCGTAGCTACCATCCAGCCAATTAATGCAGTTAACTGAAAATGATTCAAAATAATTAAGATAATTTCATAATGATATTAATCATTGTTTCAGGAGCAGGTAAGAAGAATCAGAGTTTTTAATATTACATTTCCCTATGGCAGTGCAAAGAAACACCAGTAATTCTCTTTTTTTCAAAAACAGAATGTTCTACCATGTTCAGTTCGTTAGATATATACGTTCCCATATACTGAAAATACATTAAATAAAGAAATGTTACCTACCCTGTTAAGTTTGGGTTTGCATTCAGTAACGTACAATATATAACCAACCAGCATCCCTATTAAATAAGGTCCTATTCGTATCCATGGTTTAACATATAACATGTCAAAACTTCTGCAAACAAAAAGTTAATAATAATAAAAATATTTTATGGAGTATATTGATTTAGAATTAAGAATTACTTGTTCATTTATTATAATAATTATAAAAGGTAGTACCACACGGACCTATTATGGCCAAAAACAAATTGTATTGAAACAAGTAAAAGATAACGAATAATCAATTAAGCTGACTCACCCTGCCTGGTTGGGAGATCCTGGTGCGAGTTGATTGACGTTGGACACTATACCAGTTGTTATCCATGATCCGAGCAGAGTTGCAAGCAAAACACCCACGCCAATTATCTCGTTCCTAATACAAAAGTCATTAAAGAAGTTGAACTTTATAATCTCCATTACCAAGAACCCGTTTTTCAAAATGGTTTATGAATATATAAACCATATATAAACCATATATATATGAATGGTTTATAATTAACGTAAAGTTTGGGACTTAATTATGCCAAAAGTTATATGCGATAGGCACTATTGCAAATATACATATTAATTAAATGTCTTTCTTTAGAAAAATATCATCTTGAATTTCGAGGGTTATCTAAATCACTTTCTACTGACTTACCAAAACAGAGGAAACAGAATTAGAGGACTGATAACAAAGAACTGCATGTCATTGGCTAGATACCAGGACCAACCCATGCACTGAAAGTATAGAAAACCACTTAAGCTTACATATTCCTACATCATATCACAGGTAAATGTTAGTGAAACATTCATCATTACGAAATCATCCCCAATTGACTTTACTTAACGCTGTTACGTAACGCTTAAATAACGGAACATGGTTGAGGAATTAATTACTTCTTACCATTTTCTTTGATTTTACAACATTGTTTATGTAGAGTAAATTTGTCCACCAAGATTCGCCACAGTAAGGGTCGAAACCATCAACGGTACTGACCCACATAGGGCCGTTTGTCCAGTAGTATATAGTGGGAACATACACCAAAAGCACCAACATATAGGGCGGGGTTAGTCTGGAAAGACAAAGAAAATGAAAGTCATGGCACATGGGGTCTAGTCACTGTACACACGCAGAAAGGGTTCACAGGGTCATGGTACTTATTTAAATTAATGGCACACAGAACCATGGTATAAATGTGAAATCATGGTACACAGGACCATGGTACAAATGTGAAATCATGGTACACAAGACAATGGTACAAATGTGAAATCATGGTACACAGGACCATGGTACAAATGTGAAATCAAGGTACACAGGATCAAAGTACAAACATCACATCATGGTACACAGGGTAATGGTACACCATACGTAGGGTCTTGGTATATAGGATCATGGTACATACGTAGGGTCCTGGTACACAGGATCATGGTACATACGTAGAGTCCTGGCACAGATCGGATCTTGTCCCGGATGAAACCATCGGAGGAATTTTTATTTTGCTTTTAAATTTCATCATACATATAACCTTATTATAATTTTGGAATATCTTTTAATCTATTGGACCTACCTCCAGAATCTGTGGAAATAATATAGTCCCCAGTTGATCCTAAATCTACCACTCCCCTTCTTCATCTCTCTCATGGTAAGATATGTGACAAGAAGACCGCTGAAAGAGACGGTTTTTTAGTACAAAGAAGTAAATGAGTGCATAGAGGATAAAAAGTGGGCAAGACCATCCATTCCAATTTGTTTCTTCCCATACACGTATAAAATAAAAAGAGAATCTGTGATCAATGAAATCTTAATATAACTACCTACTTGGTATATACATTGCATATGTGTTACATCCTAAAATGTACCACACCCCTTTAAGAGTCATTTATACCTTAGAAGTAGACTTCCATCATTATGCTAATTGATGACTTTTTATTTTTCGTAAGACAAATTATATCTGGTATGGGCAAAAACGCGCAATTTTTTTCTACCGTATACAAAGATTAAGATTCTCGTGATTGGGTAAATATTTCAGCCAAATTGGTTGTCTTAGATCTGTCTAAGCAATTGTGTTATATCATAAAGCCTTTACCTGTTTAAGAGTTCAATATGCATCTGAGACGTATAAAACCATATAAGAATTAACTTGTTGAGGTTCCGCGTACTAACACACTTGAGTGTAGCTTTCATGTGCCGCACAATTGTAATAGTATTGCTTACCTCAGAACAAAGAAAGAATCCACGGAAAAGGGACCGCTAATTAAGACTTGCATCGTCCACCGTTTCATTAAATCCTGAGTTACAGAGGATATATTATCTGAAAGACAAAAACAGGAGACCTTTATTGACAATACTATTAATTGTACAAACTCTTTGCAACCCCACAAACGAAATTTGGGCAAAATTGTCGGTAAATATTAATTTTTGCTGACTCGTTATGTCATTATGTTAGGATGATGAGTATTATTGAATATTTAACATATATTTTCCATCCCTAAAGCAGGGCCATAACATTTAATGTAGGCCACAATTTGTTACATTGTTAAAATTGTTAAAATGATTAGGAACTGGGATTGTATCACAAAAGCGGCCTTGTTTGGCCAAATCTCGAACAAACAATAGTCTTGATTGCCTTTTTTGTTGTGAATGAGACTACAGTGTATGAAAGTTTGTGGTACACTGGGATGGAGGAGACAGAAAATATTATGCCCTCAGAGTGTACAACTACATGCCATATTTAAGGATCATCGAGATTATCATCAAATTTACGATGCATCCTGCAACATGCTTAATATTTTTAGATAAGGAATATAGTTAACACATTAACTAACTTACCAGTCACGGTTGCTGCAAAATAGTATGTGTGTCCCCAAATAACCCAGGAGAGACTCAGAAACCGTATTCCGTTGACACAAGTGAGAGCCCCACTGGCTTGCTTGGTGTTCAGAACTTTGGCACCGTTTGTGTATACAGAAAAAGCTACAAGGATCTTATGCATAATGCCTGAAAATAAAGGTAATCAAAAGTGAATGAGCAAGTGGATGACAGGAAAACACACTGAAGTGAGTGAGTAAGTGAAAAAAATTGAGTGAGGGAACACGAATGAGTGAGTGTGTGTGTGAGAGAATGAAAGACTAATTAATAAGAAAATAAAATGATTCAAATTTTGAAAAATTTCTACATCATACTCCACACTTACCATTTGCGCCATTATTTTCGGAATTCGAATAACCCACATTTTTCTGAGAATGTATTAGTGGTGTGTGTTCATCAACACTTATGGAGGCAGCGCCATTACTGATGACTTTTGTCTCACTGGCATATGGAATCAATGGTTTGTGATTAAAACCCATGTTCTGGTGTACGATGTCATATATGGTTCCAATCAGTACACATAGCACAACTAACCCTGCGATGCATCTGTAAGAAAAGCATTTTAGTTTAGAAGAAATGAGATTGTCTCGACTGAGAATGAGAATATTGTGGTGTTGATTTCCCTTCATTCAGACAATCATTTACAACACACACATACACTCACACACACACAGGGAGATAGAGAGAGAGAGAGAGAGAGAGAGAGAACTTACATAACTGCAATTGCACCGCTGTTCAACGGTCGGTCTTGTTTGTTGCAGGCAAAAGCAGCCTTATCCAAAAGTGGAGATTTTATTCGTAGGATAGATATAACTGAAATGATAATAACAATCATAACAATAATAATAATATGCCCATTCAATCATTGTTCCTGATCAGAAAAAGTCCGCAGACAAGGAGGGATGGGGATTTAGTTTTACGATCTAAAGAATTGCCAGAAAAGGTCAATCATATATACTTTAATTCAAAATTAGCATCAAAACGTGGATGTGGATTGTATCATACCTTAAAAATGGAAGCCGACATAATATAATAAATTCTAGTGAAATAACTTCCCCAGCTCAAAGCTAGTAGACACTTCAGTTTTTCGAATCCCTCCCTAACTAAATCCGTGGCTACGACACATGGAATATGTCATTTAATCCTTTCTGGGCGTCGTGAGCCGCGTTCACATAGGTTCCACACAAAACTGTTTTAATTCTAGTTTTAGCAAGTGTAATATTAATTGCAACTCCCTCTCTGGGCAACAAAAAAAAAAAAAAAAAAAAAAAGCTCTGGTGGGATAACTTGATGGGGTGAGATTAAAACCAAATCGCCCACCTCCTGCAGCTTCAAGTAGAGCGTTTATTATTGAAACCGTTCGGAATACATAACTTTTCATTGCGAGTTATAATCAGGCGGAGAAGTGCTTCTGTGAGGAAGGAACAGACCGAAATAACAATGGCACTATAAAGATCAATTAATTCCGAGTTATGCAGAAAAACCTCCACTTTTTACATACTGAGAGATCATAACACTATAAACCCAATGTTTTCATCACTACATTGTTTATTTATTAAATACATGTATGTTAATGGATCAGGAGAAAGAATAGTGTAGGTTACTTACATGCGTTCAATAAGTGCCTCAAGTCTTGGTTACTGCATCCTGCTGGAACACATAAACCAATGCTAAGAGTCGCAGGTGGTAGGCCGGGCTAAAATATGAACATTTAGCATTAAACCAAAGCAAAAATGTGCTCATTTAATTCAACAGCCGTGGCCAAATTATTACGATCTTAGAATATAAATGGGTTTAGATTATTTATTTTTTATTATTTTATTTTTACTTATCATAACTTAATTGCCACCACGAACCCAGATTTACCCGTACATTCTTTGATGGGTTCTCGCATGTTCGTTATTGACGGAAGAATACGCATGCTGTTTAAAGAAACAGAAGAACAATGTATAATAAATAGTATAAATCTGATCGTCCTCCAAATGCCAAAAGTCAGGAAATTCGTTCTATTACCACCCTTCGTCTCCGAGATCCCTGGAAACTCACTTCTAAATCACCAACATGTTTTTGTCCTTCCCAGTGAGGGGAGACAGCAAAGACATGCTGATAGTGTAAGGGTGAATTGTCAGTAACCCTCACACTCTTTGCCCCGTACATGTATATCACGATATCTACCCAACACCCAGAACGTTTAATAACTTCACCATAACGTTCTTTGGTTATATAAACGTTACGGTAACGTGAAAGTAACGTTCCGTCTTTGATGGTTATCTCCTGTTCCCCACCTGTTGTATCCCTACGTAGCCCGTACAGTACTGTCCACCAAACTGGTCATCCGCTGTCCAGGTGGTGTTGTCAGGGTTGGTCACATTGTACTGGACATAGGCGTCCACGGCCAGACACTCGCTGTAGGAACCCAGCCATCTGAAATTCCCGTCCAGCACACCGCTTGGTAGTTTGGCCGAGGCATCAAACACTAAAAATGAGAATTAAATAATGTACATTTAATTACATCTGGCATTTTTTAAAAAAATTCTTTACACGGCCCCAACAGCCATTGCAACATAAAAAATGTATTGAAAACGGGAATAAATTTGGGAGAGGTTTGATTTTAATTTTACAAACCATTTATTTTTTTTTTGTTNGTTGCCTTTTTTGTTGTGAATGAGACTACAGTGTATGAAAGTTTGTGGTACACTGGGATGGAGGAGACAGAAAATATTACGCCCTCAGAGTGTACAACTACATGCCATATTTAAGGATCATCGCGATTATCATCAAATTTACGATGCATCCTGCAACATGCTTAATATTTTTAGATAAGGAATATAGTTAACACATTAACTAACTTACCAGTCACGGTTGCTGCAAAATAGTATGTGTGTCCCCAAATAACCCAGGAGAGACTCAGAAACCGTATTCCGTTGACACAAGTGAGAGCCCCACTGGCTTGCTTGGTGTTCAGAACTTTGGCACCGTTTGTGTATACAGAAAAAGCTACAAGGATCTTATGCATAATGCCTGAAAATAAGGGTAATCAAAAGTGAATGAGCAAGTGGATGACAGGAAAACACACTGAAGTGAGTGAGTAAGTGAAAAAAATTGAGTGAGGGAACACGAATGAGTGAGTGTGTGTGTGAGAGAATGAAAGACTAATTAATAAGAAAATAAAATGATTCAAATTTTGAAAAATTTCTACATCATACTCCACACTTACCATTTGCGCCATTATTTTCGGAATTCGAATAACCCACATTTTTCTGAGAATGTATTAGTGGTGTGTGTTCATCAACACTTATGGAGGCAGCGCCATTACTGATGACTTTTGTCTCACTGGCATATGGAATCAATGGTTTGTGATTAAAACCCATGTTCTGGTGTACGATGTCATATATGGTTCCAATAAGTACACATAGCACAACTAACCCTGCGATGCATCTGTAAGAAAAGCATTTTAGTTTAGAAGAAATGAAATTGTCTTGACTGAGAATGAGAATATTGTGGTGTTGATTTCTCTTCATTCAGACAATCATTTCAAGAGACCACCGTCGAGATTCCAGTTAACACACGCACACACACACACACACGTACATACACACACGTAGAACGCTGAAGAGAGAACTTACATAACTGCAATTGCACCGCTGTTCAACGGTCGGTCTTGTTTGTTGCAGGCAAAAGCAGCCTTATCCAAAAGTGGAGATTTTATTCGTAGGATAGATATAACTGAAATGATAATAACAATCATAACAATAATAATAATATGCCCATTCAATCATTGTTCCTGATCAGAAAAAGTCTGCAGACAAGGAGGGATGGGGATTTAGTTTTACGATCTAAAGAATTGCCAGAAAAGGTCAATCATATATACTTTAATTCAAAATTAGCATCAAAACGTGGATGTGGATTGTATCATACCTTAAAAATGGAAGCAGACATAATATAATAAATTCTAGTGAAATAACTTCCCCAGCTCAAAGCTAGTAGACACTTCAGTTTTTCGAATCCCTCCCTAACTAAATCCGTGACTACGACGCATGGAATATGTCATTTAATCCTTTCTCGTCGTGAGCCGCGTTCACATAGGTTCCACACAAAACTGTTTTAATTCTAGTTTTAGCAAGTGCAATATTAATTGCAACTCCCTCTCTGGGCAACAAAAAAAAAAAAAAAAAAAAGCTCTGGTGGGATAACTTGATGGGGTGAGATTAAAACCAAATCACCCACCTCCTGCAGCTTCAAGTAGAGCGTTTATTATTGAAACCGTTCTGAATACATAACTTTTCATTGCGAGTTATAATCAGGCGGAGAAGTGCTTCTGTGAGGAAGGAACAGACCGAAATAACAATGGCACTATAAAGATCAATTAATTCCGAGTTATGCAGAAAAACCTCCACTTTTTACATACTGAGAGATCATAACACTATAAACCCAATGTTTTCATCACTACATTGTTTATTTATTAAATACATGTATGTTAATGGATCAGGAGAAAGAATAGTGTAGGTTACTTACATGCGTTCAATAAGTGCCTCAAGTCTTGGTTACTGCATCCTGCTGGAACACATAAACCAATGCTAAGAGTCGCAGGTGGTAGGCCGGGCTAAAATATGAACATTTAGCATTAAACCAAAGCAGAAATGTGCTCATTTAATTCAACAGCCGTGGCCAAATTATTAAGATCTTAGAATATAAATGGGTTTAGATTGAGGTCTATTAGGGATCCATTATTTTTACTTATCATAACTTAATTGCCACTTCGAACCCAGATTTACCCGTACATTCTTTGATGGGTTCTCGCATGTTCGTTATTGACGGAAGAATACGCATGCTGTTTAAGAAACGGAAGAACAATGTATAATAAATAGTATAAATCTGATCGTCCTCCAAATGCCAAAAGTCAGGAAATTCGTTCTAATACCACCCTTCGTCTCCGAGATCCCTGGAAACTCACTTCTAAATCACCAACATGTTTTTGTCCTTCCCAGTGAGGGGAGACAGCAAAGACATGCTGATAGTGTAAGGGTGAATTGTCAGTGACCTCTGACAATCTTTGTCCCGTACATGCATATCACAGTATCTACCCAACACCCAGAACGTTTAATAACTTCACCATAACGTTCTTTGGTTATATAAACGTTACGGTAACGTTAAAGTAACGTTCCGTCTTTGATGGTTATCTCCTGTTCCCCACCTGTTGTATCCCTACGTAGCCCGTACAGTACTGTCCACCAAACTGGTCATCCGCTGTCCAGGTGGTGTTGTCAGGGTTGGTCACATTGTACTGGACATAGGCGTCCACGGCCAGACACTCGCTGTAGGAACCCAGCCATCTGAAATTCCCGTCCAGCACACCGCTTGGTAGTTTGGCCGAGGCATCAAACACTAAAAATGAGAATTAAATAATGTACATTTAATTACATCTGGCATTTTTTAAAAAAATTCTTTACACGGCCCCAACAGCCATTGAAACATAAAAAATGTATTGAAAACGGGAATAAATTTGGGAGCGGTTTGATTTTAATTTACAAACCATTTTTTTTTTTTTGTCAAGATAAGCCATATTTGTCAATATTTGCATTCCACGCGAATCATGGAAAGGTGTTCATTTTTATTTTCCGGCTCGATTAATAAGTTTGTTCGACAACATATAAATAAACGTAATACATGTAATAATAAAACCACAAAACAACATGATAATTACGAAAAGGGTGACATAACCTTACTATTCAGAATCTTTCTTAATTTTTGGTGATGCATTTTCAGTAAATCAAATCAAAGTGTTATGAATTTTTGCTGTAAACGTTGGCTTGGACATGGTCTAAAAGCAAAGCCTGTTTTGACAAAGCTTTACTTATCAAGGCCGTGATCGCATACGGTTTCATTTTCATGATTTTTTTTTTTTTTTTTTTTTTGGTCATCAAGGTGAAAATAAATCGATCTGGCTTTTTATTTAAACTCTCAAGCCGCAAATATAGATAAACTAGATGCTGACAATGGGTAGCCAGCGCACATACCCGCACCCACATAGTTAAGAGAACATCAACCTCAGAAGCACCAATGCCTGAATATCTGTGACACTGCTTATATATACATACAATATAAGGAGGAAATTACTAACGAACGAACAGACGAAGAGACGGGATAACATGATCCCCGACTTTGTAAGAAAAGTGCGGGAATAAAAAATAGGGGTATAAATAAATAAATAAATAAATAAATAAATAAATAAATAAACGCAAAAGACTTGTAAATCACAATAATATATCATTTGACTTTGTCTTCCAATACTACTTATCATGTCCTAGTCACACTGTGGAAGTAAAGACTCAGTGGCACATGATGACGGATATAACCGTATACCCTATCTCCAGCCTACAGAGTTATAGAATCGGTTAATATTTATCGAATATCTTAGGATTTCACAATCACACTCAGTGACACATCACTGCAAACATAACATAGGACCATGCGACAACGCTAGTTAATATTTATCTACTTTTTCTACATACAGCACGTTGTACATTTGGGAGCCAGCGAGAAGATGAATATTCGACAGATTTCATTGTGCACAATCTCAGTATTATACCATTTCTTCTTTTCACATGATAAAGTTTGCCAAAGTTATATCTGTAAATCCGGGTGCACATATTTTAAATCAGACTACACATATTAACGTACACTCGCACGCACACGCACACACATTTATCGATACCCTGTGAGAACGTCGCTCAAGAGACAAATGGCATTACTAAATAAAAGACCGAAACTAAATTTAAAATAATTACCTGCTGGCGCGTTTATGTCCACTTGTACCTACATTTTAACACCCATAACGATGGAGCCTATAATTAGCACTTAAACCGTAGACACGAAACTTTGTAACACATGACAGTCTGGGGCAAGTACGGAGTTAATTTGTTATATGCCAGTCCTCATTTAACCTATCACGTGCTCAGCAATCAATCAATCAATCAATCAATCAATCAATGGATGGGTGACGCGAAAAACAAAAATAATAAGACCCGTGATGATTTGAGCTGACTTCATGCCACCTGACATGTACTTAAGATCCTTATCTACATGATATATGATATGGACTAACATCACTTAATTACGTGATAAGACAAAGAGCGCCCGTCTCTAGGCGATTGGGCAATCTCTTTCGAAGGTTAGACGACATTCTATTAGATTTACAACAAATGTACTACATTACGGTTTCGGTTGGCCTAATATTGCACCATAACCATAACATTGTAACATAGCTCTTAATGCTGTTGTTAAACGTAGGCTTTTCAAACAGAGAAGTATCCTAAGTTTATATGTGTGACGAATCTCTGCACTAGCAGTTGATTAAAATAGGCCTACCACAGCCTTAAGTGTACTCTGATTGAATAAAAGCAAAATGCCAGGTGCGCCGTCCAGCGTCTCTTATTATTTCCCCCTTCTTTCGGTCATTAACGCTTTGTACTCACTTCTTATGGCCCAGTATTGCCTATTCATCAGTCCCTCGAGATATTGCACAGTTCTATTGAAGCAAGTCTCGGAGACGTTGACGTCCAGGGCCCCAGCCTTTAGCTGTCTAACGCCTTCTAATAAAGACGTCACCGTAGTATGATCCACGGATTTTCCATTGTAAAGAAGAGAGTTCACTAGAATCTGCTGCTGAGATTCTTCTTGAGGTTCTTGATACTGAGATCTGAGGCGGTTGATTTTACTGAAAACATGACCAACGTTATAAGGAATGTCGTTCGTCTCAACCCACTGAGCCTTGGCTATCGTGACGGTCATTAAGACCAAAATAACACACTGAAGGACGGCACACTTATATCTCGACATCACGTCTTTAGGTAACATAAATATGAACATCTATATCAACTAGGCGTCAGTAAATGACTAGGTCGCAAAGCTACCTTAACGTTTAAGTACATCTTATGCTGCGAGATATTATTTGTATATGTTGACGTCATAGATTATTCGAACCACGTGATAGATGGGAAGAAGCAAACACTAGGGGTCAAAGTTCAAGACAGTCACGTAAGCGTCCACTTATAGACTCTTTGGTCTGTTGATTGACATGACAGGCGTTCTAGGAGAAGGGGCGTTATGACAAACAACCTGACACTGATACAAGTGTTTGTACATGTACGTGTGCGTGTGTGTGTGTGTGTGCGCGTGTGCGCGAGAGTGAGATAGGATATCTGTATTTTTAAAAACCTTGTCTATCTGGTCAAGTATAATGTCCTCAAAGAATAATAAAAATAGGCATCAAATATAAAGTATACTCAGAGTCATTCATCAAATAAAAGTATAATTCGCAATAAAAAACAAATTGTTTGTTCAAATACAATGCATTATGCATCCCACATAATAAACATTTAACATTGACATCATTTAACTGAAAGTCCTCTTAAAAACACATACATACTCCGTTTATATTGGCACCATAAGAATTTAAATAACAATCAAATAATATGTCTGCATTCAAATATAAATAAAAAGTCTCCAAATATAGATAAGCGTAGGTACTCTAAGAACAGTCTCATTTCCGAGGTAATGCATCATGACCATGTTATATGATCCACAACTGCTTTAAGAAAGTTCTCCATTTGATTTTTTTATTGTTACATTACGTAACTGTGAAAAACTACCCCTATTTAGCAGAAACTTTATAAGAAATCTAAAAGCTGCACTTGGGAATGTAAGATCCCATTGTTTGTTCTTTTTGTAATATATTCGTATACCCTAGGATTTAAGTTTGGGTAAAAGTAAGAATGGATACAAGACCAGCTTTGCCTCATACGGCTTTGTTCCTCTGCTCCATGTTTTTCCAGCAGTCTATGCTGACTTTTCCCGCCGTAATATAGCTTTTTCAAGCCCCATCATTGGAGCTTCAAAGACCATGGATACGATGAAAGCACCCGCAAACGACGCCACCATGTTTCCAAAGTAGATATATGTCTGTAAAATAAACATTTCAAAAGCAGTTACAATAGAAAAAGCCATGGCATTAAAAGACATAACAAGAGATATGAATGTGAAAAATCGGGGTCAAATCAATTTCGACACAAATGTAAAATGGTCCCTATGGCTATTAGAAAAAAATCTAAAACTCACCATTGTCACATCTGTAGCATGTATAAGCGTCTCTCTTCCCATATATACCACATACATAATGATAGGATGGATGAGATAGGCACAGTATGTCAGACGACTCAGAGGTACAAACGCCTTCCAGGACATTAAGGTATTCACGAACCCTACAAGGTAATATCACAGAATAATTGAAACACATTTCGGGGCACATTTTTGTAAAAAAAAATTGAAAGTGTCGGTATTAATGTACTATCAACTTCGTTTAAACGTTTGAACTGCGAAATGGGCATATGGCAACGTATAAGCCTCATAACGAACACGCAGTATGCTTATAATGTATTTATGTAACTGATAAAATAACTAACTATATATATATATATATATATATATATATATATATATATTTAGGGAGGGAGAAGAGAATGTAAACACTAACCTCCATATCCAGTACAGCAAGCATATATAACCCAACCAACACATGCACCCCAAGCAGTTCTTGAGACTGCGTTGTAAAATGCGCCAACATCGTTACTGAGCGGGTGACCTTGGTAAACGTCATAAAGGCCGTATACCAGTGCGAGGGCAGTTGCCGTAGCTACCACCCAGCCAATTAATGCCGTTAACTGAAAATGATTCAAAATAATTAAGATAATTTCATAATGATATTAATTATGTCTTGAGGAGCAGGTAAGAAGAATCAGAGTTGTTAATATTACATTTCCCCATGGCAGTGCGAAGAAACACCAGAAATTCTCTTTTTTCGAAAATAGAATGTTCTATCATATTCAGTTCGTTAGATATACTGTATATACGTTTCCATATACTGAAAATCCATTTCTTTGAAATAAAGAAATGTTACCTACCCTGTTTAGTTTGGGTTTGCACTCAGTAACGTACAATATATAACCAACCAGCATCCCTATTAAGTAAGGTCCTATTCGTATCCATGGTTTAACATATAATATATCAAAACTGCAAACAAAAAAATTAATAATAATAATATTTTATGGAAAATATTGATTTAGAATTAAGAATGAGATTGTGAACGATGTTCATTTTCTACGAACAAAATAATTAATTATAATAATTATAAAAGGTAATATCACTCATATCTTTTATGGCGAAAAGCATTGTATTGAAACACGTTAACGATAGAGAGAAAGCAATTAAGCTGACTTACCCTGCCTGGTTGGTAGATCCTGGTGGGAGTTGATTGACGTTGGAGACTATACCAGTTGTTATCCATGATCCGAGCAGAGTTGCAAGCAAAACACCCACGCCAATTATCTCGTTCCTTATACAAAAGTCATTAACGCAGTTAAACTTGTGTGAATAAACTTATTAACGTTACACATATCACGGGAAATTTTTTTATCGTCATAAATCCCCATTACCATGAACCCGTTTTTCAAAATTGGTTTATGAACGTATATTAAATGCTTCGTTCACAACCTGCCAACCTGATAATTTAACGTAAAGTTTGTGTCTTAACAAAAGTTATATGCGATAGGCACTATTACAAATATACATATTAATTAAATGTCTTTCTTTAGAAAAATATCATCTTGAATTTCGAGGATTATGTAAATCACTTTCTACTGACTTACCAAAACAGAGGAAATAGAATTAAAGGACTGATAACAAAGAACTGCATGTCATTGGCTAGATACCAGGACCAACCCATGCACTGGAAGTAAAGAAACCCACTTAAGCTTACATATAACTACATCAGTGTCAGTGAAACATTCATCATTACGAAATCATCCCCAATTGACATTACTGTTTGCAATCGCTTAATTTACTGAGTACGGAACATTGTTTAGGAATAACATATGTAGTAATATATGTAAATAATATTACTTACCATTTTCTTTGATTTTACAACATTGTTTATGTAGAGTAAATTTGTCCACCAAGTTTCGCTACAGTAAGGGTCGAAACCATCAACGGTACTGACCCACATGGGGCCGTTTGTCCAGTAGTATATAGTGGGAACATAAACCAACAGCACCAACATATAGGGCGGGGTTAGTCTGGAAACACAAAGAAAATGAAAGTCATGGCACACGGGGCCTAGTCACTGTACACACGCAGAAACATGGTTTACAGGGTCATGGTACTTATTTAAATTAATGGCACACAGAACCATGGTACAAATATGAAATCATGGTACACAGGACCATGGTACAAATGTGAAATCATGGCACACAGGACCGTGGTACAAATGTGAAATCATGGCACACAGGACCATGGTACAAATTTGAATCATGGCACACAGAACCATGTAGAATCATGCCACACAGGACCATGTAGAATCATGGTACACAGTTATATCATGGCACACAGAACCACGGTACATAAGTAAGGTCCTGGTACACAGGATCATGGTACATACGTAGGGTCCTGGTACACATCGGATCTTGTCCCGGATGAAACCATCGGAGGAACTTATATTTTTCTTTTATATTGAATCATAGATATAACCCACTTATAATTTTAGAAAATCTTTTATTCAACTGCACCTACCTCCAGAATCTGTGGAAATAATAAAGCCCCCAGTTGATCCTGAATCTGCCACTCCCCTTCTTCATCTCTCTCATGGTAAGATATGTGACAAGAAGACCGCTGAAATAGACGGTTCTTGAGTACAACGAAGTAATTGAGTACATAGAGGGTAAAAAGTGGACAACCAACCATTCCAAATTATTTCTTCCCATACACGTATAAAATAAAAAGTGAATCTTTGATTAATGAAGTATGGTTACATTAGCCCATCTTGATATAACTACCTACTTGGTATATATATATATAACATATGTATGGCATCTTACAAGGTACCACACCCCTTAAAGAGTCAATTATACCTTAGAAGCAGACTTCCATGTTTATGCTAATAGATGAGTTTTAATTTTTCGCAAGACAGATTATATCGCGCAATTTTTCTCTACGGTATACAAAGCTTAAGCTTCTCGTGATTGGGGAAAATATTTCAGCCAAATTAGCTGTTACAGGTCTGTCTTAGCAATTTTGTTTTATCATGGTCGCTTTAACTTGTTTAAAGAGATCAAATATGTATCTGAGACGTATAAAACCTTATAAGAATTAACTTGTTGAGGTTCAGCGTACTAACACACTTGAGTGTAGCTTTCATGTGCCGCACAATTGTAATAGTATTGCTTACCTCAGAACAAAGAAAGAATCCACGGAAAAGGGACCGCTAATTAAGACTTGCATCGTCCACCGTTTCATTAAATCCTGAGTTACAGAGGATATATTATCTGAAAGATAAAAACAGGAGACCTTTATTGACAATACTAGTAACTGTGTAAACTCTATGCAACCACACAAACGAAATCTGTGGAAAATTGTCTGTAAAGATTAATTTTTGCTGACTCGTTACGTCATAATTTTAGGATGATGAGTCTTATTGAATATTTAATATGTCTTTTTATCCCTAAGGCCATAACATTTAATATAGGCAACATTTTGTTACATTGTTAAAATGACTAGGAAGTGGGCTTGTATCACAAAAGCGGCCTTGTTTGGCCAAATCTTAAACAATAAATACTCTTTGTTGCTATTTTCTTGTGAATAAGACTATGACTGGGTTCCCATACTTAGATCGATCCATCTGGATCGACCTAACTCCCTTACTAGGCGTGACAGACATTAAAGCCGGTTAAGTTGATCGTAATTTAGTGAGACTCCTCAGAGAGATAGATCGATCCAAAAATCTGTGGGAATGGTCTCTATGAAAGTTTGTGGTACACTGGGATGGAGGAGACATAGAAAATATAACGCCCACAGAGTGTACAACTACATGACAGATAATGTCGAGATTATCATCAAATTTACGATGCATCCAGTGACTGCAACATACTTAATATTTTTAGATAAGGAATATATAGTTAACACATTAACTAAATTACCAGTCACGGTTGCTACAAAAAAAACAAAACTTAATAAATAAATAAACTTACCAATCGTAGTCATTGCAAAAACGTAGGTGTGTCCCCAAATAACCCAGGCGAGACTCAGAAACCGTATTCCATTGACACAAGTGAGAGCCCCACTGGCTTGCTTGGTGTTCAGAACTTTGGCACCGTTTGTGTATACAGAAAAAGCTACAAGGACTTTATGCATAATGCCTGAAAAAAAGGTATAAAAAGTAAATGAGTAAGTGAATGGATTAAATTAACGACAGGAAAACACACTGGTGAGTAAGTGAGTAAAAAAATTGAGTGAGGGAACACGAATGAGTGGGTGTGTGAGAGAGTGAAAGACTTATTAATAAGAAAATAAAATGATTCAAATTTTAAAAAATTTCTACATCATAACCCACACTTACCATTTGCGCCATTATTTTCGGAATTCGAATAACCCACAGTTTTCTGAGAATGTATTAGTGGTGTGTGTTCATCAACACCCATGGAGGCAGCACCGTTACTGGTGAATTTTGTCTCACTGGCGTAGGGAATCAATGGTTTGTGATTAAAACCCATGTTCTGGTGTACGATGTCATATGTGGTTCCAATAAGTACACATAGCACAACTAACCCTGCGATGCATCTGTAGGAAAAGCATTTTAGTTTAGAAGAAATGAGATTGTCTCGACTGAGAATGAGAATATTGTGGTGTTGATTTCCCTTCATTCAGACAATCATTTAAGAGACCACCTCCGGGATTCCAGTTAACACACTCACACACACACAGGGAGAGAGAGAGAGAGAGAGAGAGAACTTACATAACTGCAATTGCACCGCTGTTCAACGGTCGGTCTTGTTTGTTGCAGGCAAAAGCAGCCTTTTCCAAAAGTGGAGATTTTATTCGTAGGATAGATATAACTGAAATGATATTAACAATCATAACAATAATAATAATATGCCCATTCAATCATTGTTCCTGGTTTTACGATCTAAAGAATTGCCACTTAAATTCAAAATTAGCATCAAAACGTGGATGTGGATTGTATCATACCTTAAAAATGGAAGCAGACATAATATAATAAAATCTAGTGAAATAACTTCCCTAGCTCAAAGCTAGTAGACACTTCAGTTTTTCGAATCCCTCCCTAACTAAATCTGAGGCTACGTCGCATGGAATATGTCATTTAATCCTTTCTGGACGTCGTGAGCCGCGTTCACATAGGTTCCACACAAAACTGTTTTAATTCTAGTTTTAGCAAGTGCAATATTAATTGCAACTCCCTCTCCCACCCGCTATGCCACCAATGGCACTATAAAGATCAATTTAAGATCAATTAATTCCGAGTTATGCAGAAAAAACTCCACATAATTTTTACATACTGAAAGGTCATAACAGTATAAACCCAATGTTTTCACCACTGCATTGTTTATTTATTAAATATATTTTCAAGTTCCTGGATCAGGAATAGTGTAGGCTACTTACATGCGTTCAGTAAGTGTTTTAAGTCTTGGTTACTGCATCCTGTTGGAACACATAAACCAATGCTAAGAGTCGCGGGTGGTTGGCCGGGCTAAAATATGAATATTTAGCATTAAACCAAAGCAGAAAAGAGCACACTGAATTCAACAGGCGTGACCAAGTTATTACGAGAATACATGTGGGTTTAGAATGAGGTCTATTAGGGATCCATTATTTTTCCGGCGACTTTTAATTCCCAGTACGAACCCAGATTTACCGGTACATTCTTTAATGGGTTCTCGCATGTTCGTTATCGGAAAAATACGCATGTTGTTTAAAGAAACGGAAGAACAAGGTATAACAAATAGTTTATATCTGATCGTCCTCCACATGCCAAAAGTCAGGAAATTCGTTCTTATACCACCCTGCGTCTCCGTCCCTGGAAGCTCACTTCTAAATCATCAATATGTTTTTATTCTTCAAAGTGACAGTTCAAGGGTGAATTGTCAGTGACCTCTGACACTCTTTGTCCTGTACACGTATATCACGATATCTACCCAGAACGTTTTATAGCGTTACCATAACTTCGCCATAACGTTCTATGGTTATATAAAAACGTTATGGTAACGTTATAGTAACGTTCCGTCTTTGATGGGTATCTCCTGTTCCCCACCTGTTGTATCCCTACATAGCCCGTACAGTACTGTCCACCAAACTGGTCATCCGCTGTCCAGGTGGTGTTGTCAGGGTTGGTCACATTGTACAGGACATAGGCGTCCACGGCCAGACACTCGCTGTAGGAACCTAGCCATCTGAAATTCCCGTCCAGCACACCGCTTGGTAGTTTGGCCGAGGCATCAAACACTAAAATTGAGAATTAAGTAACATACATTTAACATCTGCCATTTAAAAAAATGCTTTACACAAACCCAACGGCCATTGAAACATAAAAAATGTATTGAAAACGGGAATAAATTTGGGAGAAGTTTGAGTTTTATTTTACAAACCATTTAAAGTAGTTTTTTTTGTCAAGATAAGCCATATTTGTCAATATTTGCATTCCACGTGAATCATGGAAAGGCGTTCATTTTTATTTTCCGGCTCGATTAATAAGGTTGTTCGACAACATGTAAATAAACGTACATGTAATAATAATAATAAAACCACACAACAACATGATAATCACGAAAAGGGTGACATGACCTTACTATTCAGAATCTTTCTTAAAGGTACATACGAACCGAGCATCGGTGGAGCGTGGATTCCCAATAACACATGTAAACCACTTCTACTAGATTCTTATGTGACTCAAATAAATTCGACATGCCAAGGGATAAAATGAATAGATCACTTGATCAGCCATAAAAGACCTTTAGACTGCTCCTTTCTTTAAATTTTTGGTTGTAAATTTAACCTACTTTCGTGACCTACTTTCCTGGCCCATTGACATACAGCTAAGAATGCCAGCAGAAAAATCCGTTCAAACATCATTTTCGGGTAAAATTAAACAATGCCTTTTGGTAATTCTCTTAGTTATACTACTTGAAACTATATGCTGAAATTTGGTTGGTTTTTGTGACAAAAAATTGACTTTGTATGCATCTTNTATCAAGGAGAAAATAAATCGATCTGGCTTTTTATTTAACCTCTCACGCCGCAAATAAAGATAAACTAGATGCTGACAATGGGTAGCCAGCGCACATACCCGCACCCACATAGTTAAGAGAACATCAACCTCAGAAGCACCAACCCCTGAATATCTGTGACACTGCTATTATATACATACAATATGAGAAGGAAATTACTAACGAACGAACAGACGAAGAGACGGGATAACATGATCCCCGACTTTGTAAGAAAAATGCGGGAATAATAAATAAATAAATAAATAAATAAATAAATAAATAAATAAACGCAGAAGACTTGTAAATCACAAAAATACATCGTTGGACTTTGTCTTCCAATACTACTTATCATGTCCTAGTCACACTCCGGAAGCCAAGACTCAGTGGCACATGATGACGAATATACGGTATACCGTATCTCCAGTCTACAGAGTTATAGAATCGGTTAATATCTAACTAATATCTTAGGATTTCACAATCACACTAAGTGACACACCACTGCAAACATAACATAGGACCATGCGACAACGCCAGTTAATATTTATCTAAATTTTCTACATACAGCACGTTACACTTGTAGGGCTGGGAGCCAGCGAGAAGAGCAAAAGTTGAATATTCGACAGATTTCAATGTGCGCAACCTCAGCATTATACCATTTCTTCTTTTCACATGATAAAGTTTGTCAAAGTTATATCTGTAAATCCGGGTGAAGATATTTAAAATCAGACTAAACATTTTGGATGGTTTTCCATATTCACATACACGCACACGCAAACACACACACACACACACACACACACACACATTTATCGAGACCCTGTGAGAACGTCGTTTAAGAGACAAATGCTTTTATTTTAATATTAAAAAATAAATAAAAGACCGAAACTAAATTTAAAATAATTACTTGCTGGCGCGTTTATGTCCGCTTGTACCTACATTTTAACACCCATAACGATGGGTCCTTTAGGTTGTACTTAAACCGTAAACTTAGTTCACGAAACTTGGCACTTGACAGGCTAGGTTAAGTGAGGGAGTTAATGTATTATGTTAGTCCCCATTTAACCTATCACGTGCTCAGCAATTAATCAATCAATGGATGGGTGACGCGAAAAACAAAAATAATAAGACCCGTGCTGATTAGAGCTGACTTCATTCCACCTGACGTGTACTTAAGATCCTTATCCACATGATATATGATATGGGCTAACATCACTTAATTACTTGATAAGACAAAGAGCGCCCGTCTCTCAGCGATTGGGCAATCTCTTTCGAAGGTTGGACGACATTCTTTTAGATTTAAGACAAATGTACTACATTACGTTTCGGTTGGCCTAATATTGCACCATAACATTGCAACATAGCTCTTAATTCTGTTGTTAAATGTAGGCTTTTCAAACAGAGAAGTATCCTAAGTTTATATGTGTGACGAATCTCTGCACTAGCAGTTGATTAAAATACATTTGTACCACAGCCTTAAGTCTACTTTGATTGAATAAAAGCAAAATGCCAGGTGCGCCGTCCAGCGTCTCTTATTATCCCCCCCCCTTCTTTCGGTCATTAACGCTCTGTACTCACTTCTTATGGCCCAGTATTGCCTATTCATCAGTCCCTCGAGATACCGCACAGTTCTATTGAAGCACGTCTCGGAGACGTTGACGTCCAGGGCCCCCGCCTCTAGCTGTCTAACGCCGTCTAATAAAGACGTCACCGTAGTATGATCCACGGATTTTCCATTGTGAAGAAGAGAGTTCACTAGAATCTGCTGCTGAGATTCTTCTTGAGGTTCTTGATACTGAGATCTGAGGCGGTTGATTTTACTGAAAACATGACCAACGTTATAAGGAATGTCGTTCGTCTCAACCCACTGAGCCTTGGCTATCGTGACGATCATTAAGACCAAAATAACACACTGAAGGACGGCACACTTATATCTCGACATCACGTCTTAAGGTAACATAAATATGAACATCTATATCAACTAGGCGTCGGTAAATGACTAGGTCGCAAAGCTACCTTAACATTTAAGTACATCTTATGCTGCGAGATATTATTTGTATATGTTGACGTCATAGATTATTCGAACCACGTGATATATGTGAAGAAGCAAACACTAGGGATCTAAGTTCGAGACAGTCACGTAAGGGTCCACTTATAGACTCTGTAGTCTGATGAATGACATGAAAGGCGTTCTAGGAGAATGTTCGTTATGATTTACAACCTGGCACCGATACAAGTCTTTTTACGTGTGTGTATGTGTGTGTGTGTGTGTGTGAGAGAGAGAGAGAGAGAGAAAGAGAGTGAAAAATAAGAGAGAGAGAGAGAGAGAGAGAGAGAGAGAGAGAATAAGAAGAGAGAGAGAGATACCGGTAGATTTAGGAAATCTGTATTTTAACAGACTCGTCTATCTGGTCAAGTATAATGTTCTCCAAGAATAATAAAAATAGGCATCAAAATATGAAGTATACTCAAAAAGCGTGTTTTAATAAAATAAATATCATAAGCATACAGCTACACCCTGTAGAAGCATAACAGCTATTAGATTGTAAAAAAGCAACCAAACAAAATGCAAAAAAACAAAAAAAAAACAAAATTAAAAGCTTAGCGAAAGGTTCTAAATACATACCGTACACTCACCAATTATGTACATTATATCAGACTTTATAGAAAGGTTTAACAAGCGACTTAAAGGCATGTTATTTTTGTAATCATCAGACTGATTAGAACAACAAATGATTTCTAATACACTCTGAATTGTGGGGTTCATCACGTGATTTTGATTGAAACAGGAGTCACGAACAAAGGTCAAAATGTCTAAATAGTCGGCAACATTTCGAAACTAAATTTCAAATATTTCCCCTTGAATTCAATAAAAAATACTGTTTATTAAATACATACGGAAAAAACGATAATTAATTCGTTTATTGATATCTTCTCTCTTTGATGACCTGGTGCGTCCTTGTTTAACCTCGGTGACGGTCATTGAAATAGAATAGTATTATTTCCACAAAGTTCTGACAATACTATCGAACATTCCAGAACATGCGACTACCAAAAAGCTATCCCTACAGTTTCGTTACACTTCTTGGAGTACTTTCATTCCTGCTCTTTTCAGTCATTCCGGGGGCTACGCCGATTTTCGCCGCTGTAATATAGCTTTCTCAAGTCCCATCATAGGAGCCTCAAACACCAAGGATACGATGAAAGCACACGCAAGCGCCGCCACCATGTTTCCAAAGAAAAAGAATGTCTGTAAAGCAGATGTATATTCACCATAAACATACCATCAACAAATCAATTGGAGTTGTAACTTAAAAATCTGTAAAATCTATAAATGATCTCTTAAAGTGTACAACATCTTGATGATTTTAGAAAAAGGCTTACCGGGAACTTATAAACCTCACGTAATATCAATCAATTCATAACTTAATTAAAGTTTTTTAGACTCAAATAAAGATATCTACACTTCGACCTCGAAAATTTGGAGAGGTCTTTCTGACGAGCAACAACAAATAATCTAAAACTTACCATAGTCACATCTGTGGCATGTATGAGCGTCTCTCTTCCCATATATACCACATACATAATGATAGGATGGATGAGATAGGCACAGTATGTCAGACGACTCAAAGGTACAAACGCCTTCCAGGACATTAATCTGTTCACGAACCCTACAGGGAAATTTTGACAAAATTAAGTATTTCACTAACCCCACAGATTTTGACATAATAACGGATAGACATAATAAGCAAACTAATAGTAGCCCTAAGTGCTTTAAAAGATATTTACAATTGTATGTGTATATATAAGTTTAAGTAAACTTAACGTTGGTATAAAAGTGCTTTTGAACTTTCAGAATGCAATTTTTGGAACTGTAATAGAAAAAATAAAAAATGGCAACAGTAATCTAACCTCCATATCCAGTACAGCATGCATATATAACCCAACCAACACACGCACCCCAAGCGGTTCTTGAGACTGCGTTGTAAAATGCGCTAACATCGTTACTGAGCGGGTGACCTTGGTAAACGTCATAAAGGCCGTATACCAGTGCGAGGGCAGTTGCCGTAGCTACCATCCAGCCAATTAATGCCGTTAACTGAAAATGATTTTATGTGTAATTTTTAATGTACAAATAATTAAGAAAATTAGTCAAGATTGATTAGTAAGTTGTTGAAAATTTATAGAAAATTAATTATACTCGTCATTAAAGGCAATAAATTAAATTTACATCAACAATCTATCCATTCTTGTCATTAACCTGCCACTTCAAAATTTACTAGCTGTTAAAAGTAAACTTTACTGTTTTTGCTTAACAGTTTTAAAGAAACACGGATGTGTAAATATTTCAAGCACTTATCTTATTTAAGCAGCAATGATCAGTTAATGAGCGCAAATGATCAAAATTACAACTGATGACAAAAATGTCAAAAGTAAATGTTCCCTGTAACTTCCATTATTTTCTTTGTGTTGAAAAAGTAAGTATCTTGATAAGATGGAAGCAAACACGTTAGATACCTACCCTGTTAAGTTTGGGTTTGCAGTCAGTAACGTAGAGTATGTAACCAACCAGCATCCCTATTAAATAAGGCCCTATTCTTGTCCACGGCTTGAAATAGATTATATCCTCGGTTCTAGAAAACCAGAGGGAGACCTCTTTTGCCTATCAATTTGGTCGTCATCAAGAATCCTGCTTAGAGTATTCTATTACAAAACATATCAAACGTTTTTTTTTTTTTTTTTTTTTTTTTTTTTTTGTTTTTTTTTAATTTTCAAGCAGAATTATTTTGACCAAGGCGAAAATTATAACGTCACACCAAATGTGTGGCATTGGCAGCAACTCTATTTGACTTTAAAAGATAAAACAAACAAACAAGCAAATAAATAATAAATAAATAAATATTTACAATGGCACACTCAGCACTCCAGGGCCTATTTTATTTACGTTGGAGAGTATTCCAGTAGTCAATAAAGTACCAAACAATGTTGCTAGCAAAACGCCCATTCCAATTAGCTCATTCCTGAAATGACAGCTTGTAGTATACTTAGTATCCTTGTATTTGGACAAAGGTAGATTATTTTTCATATTTAAATTCCTTATTGGGAGCCAAGAATGATTCAGATTTACACCGATCCAGCAAGACCGCGTGAATTGTATAATCTTTACCTTTTTTGTCGAGTACATCTGGCTGTTATCCAGTCTTTATCTTTCATCTTTACATATAATGTATTATAAACTGTTCTTCCCAACAAATTTTAAAAGCTACAACCACTTTACTTTTTTCCTGACCCTTTCAGTGCAGTGCCCTTACTTACCAAAACAGAGGAAACAGAATAAGAGGACTGATAACAAAGAACTGCATGTCATTGGCTAGATACCAGGACCACGGCATACACTGGAAGTACAGAACATTTGGAAATCCTGAATTTATGCCAATTAGTAATTTATGCCAAGCAGACACTTGGTACATATGGCAAAATAACTTCTTTTGCAGTAATGTAACTTTTGGTTACCATATAATCGGTATTGGATATATCAGATACATGCATGGAATTGCCAAGATGTTGATAGGAAACTCAGGGGCTTTGCCGCCGTGATTCGTTATATCAAACAAGAACTTTAAAAGACCGAAAGTAGCGAGACAGAAGCCCTTGCGGAATTAACTTGCTTTCTTTAACGTGTTTCCAACCATTAAAATATTTTTCCAACTTCCAAGGAGGAAGTGATATTCACCGTCACTTTAAGGCCTCCATGCAACAACTGGCCTTTTCGGACTTGAAGAAAGTAATTTTTTTTAACAACGCTGATCCCATTTGTCTTACCATCAGTTTTTCTGGCATAACAACATTGTTCAAATACAGAAGGTGTGTCCACCAAGCCTCATAACAATCTGGGTCAAACCCATCAACAGTTCTTGGCCACAAGGGTCCATTTGTCCAGTAATATAGCGTTGGCACATACGCCATCATAACTAGCATATATGGCGGCGTTAACCTGGGATCACATTAAGGCCATAAATCAAAGTAAAGAAGGGTGCTTTCACGGTGATGTGAAGTAACTGTCTCAGACTAAACAGTACAATTCCGATAAGTTACCGTGCATGACAGAAACTTAGTATCTATATAGTAACTTACATTGTAGGACATTCTAGAAATAAACAAGTTCTATAAAATGAAACAATTTTTTTCTGTCCTGCCAGTAAGTGCAGGGACAATAAGTTTCATTAAAGCAATTTAATGCCATTTAATAATTTTACCTCCAGAATCTGTGGAAATAATATAGTCCCCAGTTGATCCTAAATCTACCACTCCCCGTCTTCATCTCTTTCATTGTTAAATATGTGACAAGAAGACCGCTGGAATAGATTTTGTAGGTGACATGATGCCAGTTAAAGAAGTTAAAGAAGACCTTTGTACGTGTTTAAGCTGCTCAAAAGTCTCCAAATGACATTGATCTTCACGTTTGTAAAACTATATCAAAAAGTTCCTTTAGAAGAGCCCGTGTGACCGACACAAGTTTTATACAAGTTTAGTATACAGAACGTCCAGAATTCACTTGTTACTCAGGACTATAAAATCCAGATTTAACATTTGATACAAGCCATGGTAGAGACACGTTCTATATCTACTTAAGTCTATGAATCCCGCTTCGTCAGGTAATATAGCTGTATATGAGATGAAATGCACGTGAACTACGTGAAAGATATTACTCAACATTATCCAATATTAACCTCTAATCTACATCGTTGCATTTATTAGAAGGACATTGCCTGTGCAATAAATGCAGCCGTTATAGGGCAAATTTCGAACATCATTCTTGTGTGTCCGTCATTGCTAATAATGTCTAGTGCAAGTGATTGAGTTAGTATACATGTAGATCGAGGAATCATAATTCCCCGTGTACATGGAGGGTGTATTTTACTCACGTGCATGTGCACGTACCCGCGCGGTTGTATTCGCATTACTCACCTGAGCAAAAAGAAAGAGTCCACAGAGAAGGTTCCGTTAATCAAGACCTGCATTGTCCAACGTTGCATTAAGTTCTGAGTAAAAGGAAGAATATTTTCTAAAAAAAAAAGATTAATCTGTATGAAAATACGCACCGTGTTACTCGCATAAAATCATATACTTTCAAAACGTAATCCTTACAAAACACCGTGACACGAGTAGTCTAGTGCACATTTGAGAAAGCTACATGCACTAGGAACAAAAAGTAAAAAAAAAAATCAATGCATTAATTAACTTAATTACCAATCGTGCCCATTGCAAAAACGTAGGAGTGTCCCCAAATAACCCAGGAGAGACTCAAAAACCGTATTCCATTGACACATGTGAGAGCTCCACTGCCTTGCTTGGTATTCAGAACTTTGGCACCGCTGGTGTACAAAGAAAACGCCAGAAGGATCTTGTGCATTGTGCCTACAAACAATCAACCAATAAATCAATCAATTAGTTAATTACAATATATAAAAATAAATTATTTCATGGATATTTAACATATAAGAGAACGAGACAGTGAGTGAAAGAAAAAAAGGTATGTATATGTAAGTACAGACAAAACGGGTATAACAATGGATATTACCAATTCAGTTCAGCTTAGTCACATAGAAATACATACTGAAGCTACAAAAGCAATAGTACAGTTATCAATATTTTATAATACACTTGCCACTGGCACCATTATCGTTGGTATGTACACCCTTCTTGTGGCCATGAACCAGTGGCGTACGTTCGTCGATCTCCATCGGCGCCGAACCGTTACTGTCCGGTTTTGTTTCGCTGATATATGGAATCAGTGGTTTGTGAAAGAAGTCCTTGTTCTGGTGTATGATATCATATGTGGTGCCTATAACTACACATAGAACAATAATCCCTGTGAAGCATCTGAAAGAAAATTATTTTGATTAAAGAAAAGGTGTACAACGGTGCAAATATCTAAACCGATAATATGAATACTGTATACTGTATATCATTCTTATGGAATTTTAAATTAGGTAAAAGCTAATTAGGCTTAAATCAATTAACTCTCTCTCTCTCTCTCTCTCTCTCTCTCTCTCTCTCTCTCTCTCTCTTGGGACTAAATAAGAAGGTTCTTACAATGATGCGATTGCCCCATTGGTCCAGGGTCGGTCTTGTTTGACACACGCAAATTCAGTTTTTACATACACCGAAGAGTTCACTTGTAGAACGGATACCACTGAAACAGAAAAATATGCTAAGTAATCTTGCAGTCACTCAGTCCAAGGATGAAGGTACTTTCCTGGTCAGTCACTCTCAATATCATTTATTCAATCTGGACGTTTTCGGTCGGGTACTTCACAGCAGTTTTGCTAGAAACAGGAATCACTTGTTTGTCATTAAACATTCTTCTGGTACCTACGTGTGTTAAGTAAGGCCTTCAAGTCGTGTTCACTACACCCACTTGGAACGCATACACCAATGCTAAGGGTGACTGATTGGCTGCCAGCCTAGAAATGCATTTTGTGAAAAGAATATTTTTAGGATATATCAGTTTCACTACCTACCATATTACATGAGATATTAATGAATTTACATAAATAGGCTACTGATTCGTCTTCGTAATTTATTCTTATTTTTCTGGCAATTCATAAGTCGAGATCAAGTTTTCAAAGTTCTGCGAACAATATATGCATGTTTGAGGTAATGCAGTATGCAAGAATATGAGATCATATTTCAGGTAAGTTGCTGGCAATCTATAGGTAGAGATCAAGTTTTGAAGGTGTTGCAAATGGTATATACATTTACATAGGTTTAAAGGTGGTATTTTAATGTCAATATCACTGTCCAAATGTACAACATTTTACATAAAGGACAGTACATTGTCTTTCGTACCAGTTGTATTGGCGTATTTCCAGTGCAGTACTGTCCACCAAACTGGTCATCCGCTGTCCAGGTGGTGTTGTCAGGGTTGGTCACATTGTACAGGATATAGGCGTCCACGGCCAGACACTCGCTGTAGGAACCTAGCCATTTGAATTTTCCGTCAAGAATGGCACTTGGTATCTTTGCTGAAGCGTCGAACACTGAAAAAAACATAATGCTTAGAATTCTGACATTCTGACACGTGGCCGGGTAGCTCCGTATAACCGGCAACGAATCAAATTTGCGAGTATAAAACTGTCAGTGAGTCATGAAATGAAAAATATTATTTCTCTGCGAAAAAGATGATAGGGAAGAAAAATCGTAAAATTCACGAAATCGATAAATATACTATTTTAAAGGTGGGGCTACCTGTGCCCTATGCTTTTTGGTCTTTGATTTATGTACAATTTAGCCATATTAATAAACAATCCGCAGTCCTCAGTTACAAGTAAATTATCATCAAATTCAAGTTCGTCCTAGATTTTAACCTGTGTTCTAAAAACAAAACCACTCCTTATTATCATGAATGGTTTGTTATTATCTATGGTCAATACCCCCCCCCCCCCCCATCAAATCTATATTAAGGCTTGTTAATGATTACCAACGTTTCCTGCACTATTCAGTTCAAGTTCGTCTAAATTTTCACTAAAACACCGAAATCAAAATAATTATTTATTGCCTTAAATCAGTGTGCCATCCCCCATTGGTGATAACTGATATACCAGTAGAATTATTTTTGTTCATGCCATTTTTTTAGGGTAAATATATATTTCTTATTTATCATTATAAATATAACACACCGATTGAAAAAGTACAATGCTTAGATATTAACTTATTTTGTGCTTTTGTTTCAATCGTTCTCGGCCTAGATTTTGACCTGACTTATGCAAACAAAGCCATTCATGTGTCATGAATGATCAACATGTTATCTTAAGGTGAGATGCCTTTTAACATTCCCATTCATATTATTTTGTAATGAATAAATAAATGAAAAATTCATTAAAGAGAGAAAGAAAGAAAGAAAGAACACACATTTTTTCTGGTATCATCAGCAATTTTCTAATACATGTACTTACCGAGCATTGCTACATATATATCGAGTCTGAAACTCAAAAATAACAACCTATATGAAAAACTTATTTTAAAACACATTTTCACGGTTTAATCGTTTTAAGTCTGTTGTTATTTGTTGCGTACAACCCTTGCATCTTCGCTTCACGTAAAAAATGTAATTTTTGAGGCAGTTTACTGCTTTTTCCGTGATTGTACATGTAAAAAGATGGAACAAACCTTGAGGTATAAACAGAAAATACCATTGAAATGACTCACCAGGAACATTTTAAGGCTTTTCCCTTTAACTGTCTATTCCAAACATGTATTGAAGGCAGTTATTATCATTATTATTATTATTATTATTATTATTATTATAAATCACAGTAACGAAGGGAGGGTTTTCAGGATGAGTGGAAACTATTGGCGAAAAGTACCCGTCTCGAACACTCTCATATTTACATTTCTCATCCTTGCAAATATTGTGCAAAATGTCTTCTCCATGTATGAATTTGTCAACCAGATCAAACTTTCCACTATCTTACTATTGTGACGAGGCCTTCGTATTCCAGTATATTACAGTTAATTCAGTGTAATGTCTTGTTCATTTTTTAATCATGTAGCCTACATTTAATCCATTAAAAACCATTAAAAAGCTAGCTTTATTTTGAAGTACTGATTTGCTAATTATTATTTTTATGACCAGAGAGGGTAGCACAAACCTCTGGCATTGTCAAGCATTTTGTGGTGAGCATCATAGAATTATAGACTGCAGTAAAACACGCCATTGAAGCGTAAGTGTCAACACTTTTTTTGGCTCTTACTAAAAGTAACAGAGAACTGATAAAATCTGACAAAAATGTGACCTAACATTAGATGCTCCACGTTTAAGGGTAAACGATAAGTTAACATATTGATTTGTACCTGACCTCGGCGTTCCTTTCAGGTGTTAATGATAAGAATCAACGCTTAACTTCTAGCTGGAAATACTGTTGAATGTAGGGCCAACGGGGAAGATAAATTTTACATGTACCATGTTTTTATCTCAATTTATATAAAGTTTAATAAATAAAAAAATTGATCGTAGGGCGACTTAATTAAACAATCCAGAAGACTATGTATGTGCTTTAAGGCGACCTTCAGTGTACAAAAATCTTATTCAAACATTCCCAATTTAAGCCTATATGAATGCCCGGTGTGAAAAAACTGTGATGACTCGAATTATTCAATTCATTAATGGAAATAACTATTTCGTTATCCAAACAATTAGATCCCACTTTTGAATAAGGACCCAAGATGCATTCACCATCTAGAGATTAAAGTTTTTAAAGACTACATCTTTGGAAGGTTCTCTAACCAGGTACTTAACCAGAATGTTAACTTTTACTTTCATACTCACTTTTTAATGCCCAGTATTCTCCCCCAATCAGTCCACCCAGATAGTGCTCGGTTCTGTTAAGACATGTCTCAGAGACGTTGACGTCCGGCTGATACCCCGCTTGTAGCTGCCGAACGCGATCCAGCAACGCTGTTAACGTGTTGGGATCCAGTCCACTGAGATGGAGAGGACTCGTGAGAATCTGTTGCCGAGATTCTTGTTGGATTGCTTCAAGCTGGGAATTGAGGCGGTGAACTTTTCTTATAGCTTGAGTATAGTCATGTGGAAAGTCACCCGATTCAAACTGGGCTTTGGATAAAGTAAAAGTCATAAAAACCAACACGAGCGCAGGTATGTATCTCTTAAACGACATAGTGTTTTTCATACGAACAGTTTTGACATCACCCATCAGTGAAATAAAACCCGTTGGTAGGTATTCAGATATGTCTATTTAACAAAGCGAAACCTTATAAGTACAAATACATTGTGACGTCATTGCCCCCTTCGATCTGTTTCGCCCCAGTTTTTGACCAGAATGTTTTTATTACCCATCATGGCTTGCTCGTGACAGCCATGAACAATAACATGCGTAAAGCACACACTGGTATGCAAATTACTGTACTTCATCATGTCTGTTAACCTGACGTCTGTAATCAACTTCTTCGAAAAAAAGGGCCAAGTGGGCGGGGTCTCTAAGCACAGGTACACTTGATAATAATTCAAGTGTTATTGCTTTATGGCTGTTGACATTAAGTACCCCAGAACTATGATATTTAAATCCAAATGCAAAGTCTGGTGACATAAAACCATGCGGAACCAAAAAGTGGTTTCCACAGAGGACGCCACGTGTACCCTTCAGATCGAGCGATAGAATACGAAAAAAACGCGCCCTACCCCCACCCTCCCCCGCCCCCTAATACGCGTCGTATTAGAGCAAGTCCTGTTTCCACCAGTTGTCTCACCTCGTTAGATATGAGAGGAGGCAGAAAGATAGAAGAAATGGACGCGGCTATAACCTCCCTCCGTCTCTCCATCCAAGCAGGGCGTTTTCACCTATTATGATCACATTTCAGCACAGCTAAAAACTCACAATAAAAAAGCGATGGTGCTAAATAAATAAGTATGAAAAAATGAATTAAAATGATAAATAATTCGAGAAGCAAAATTGTTTTTCCGTTTTTAAATGATGGTCGCAATTAAACATATGCATTCAAAGATGCATTAGACATTTTACAAATAAGGCCTCTATATGTAACATTTCCTGTGTTAAATTCTGACAGAACTTGGGTTGCATTTAATGATGATATAAGCATGAATCGATGCCTGTGAATCAATCCTTAGGAGAGACGCGAAATCACTGAGATTAAAAATTATAAGAATGGGAAAAATGCTAGAGACGCACAGCAGACTAAATAAGTTGCCTGATAAATGGTAATTCGCCCGTCAATTTATATTCTTCCAAAATCTCGCTTAAGATCAGGGGCCTTTTTGCAAATTTTCTTATATATCTGATGATTTCAATGTACTTGATTGTGCAGCGAGATGTGTAGCAAAATGTATGGAGACTGGGTTTTATGTTCATACACTGCTACCGGTATTTCGGAAGGGTCAAGAAAACCACGCTTTTGATCCAGTTTATAGGTCTACTTTTCCTTCTTTTCCTGCCCAACCTGTTTGTTTGTTAGTAAGGAAGATTGAACATTTTGGGCGGAATTTTAAAAATCAAAATTCGACTGTTTGTCAAGAATTTACCGACTTAAGAACGAAGCGTTTACCTTTGGCAAATAGAACACTTGAAAATATTGTTGACAGCTTTGCAAAATTCATGTATTAATTACCTTTATTTATTTTATCGGTCTGTACCTTAAATGTGCAGATGTCTGACCAATTAACATTTAAATTCAGTGATCTTTACATACGATTCTGGGAGGGATGCCAAATGACGCATCTGCTGTTAGAAGAGTGGGTCAAAAACTGGGACGGGAGTTGGAGGCGTTAACCATTACCTGTCCTGGTCCGTCAATGCGCTTTGGGTGAATTTTAATCAAACATGAACCGCTTTGTTTTAGGAGGAGGTCCCAGAGCGACCTCTCTTGCAGCCTCACTTGCATAATATAAGGTGATAAGATGATACGGAGATGAGCAGGATGACATTAACCTAATCGTGCAATATGCTCAACCCTGGCATTTTAAGTTATTAAGTTTTAAGTTGTGCAAAATGAAATATGGAAATAACCGACTGTAGGGAGGAAATGGGTTGTTAATGAGATATAAAATATAACGTGTGAACCCAAACGAAAAAACAAACAAACAAAACGAAAAGTTAGTGCATGTACATTATTCTGAAAAGAAAAAGCAACGGCGAGACAAACAAGGAACCTATTTTATGAAATAAAAGGGCACATTAATTTTGTAGCGTCTTTGTTAAGCATAAAATGCCTGTACTCGACTGGCATATTCAGAATGTTGACATTATCGATATCACATTGAAATACATAATGATATATTATGGCGATATACTTTTTCATCTTCATACTGTTGAAAATTACACATATATGTAAAACTGCATGCAACTTAACTCAGCGTTCTGTAGGGCTGCAAAATGCAAATATTAATATGTTCAAAACAAAAAAGGAGCTTTTATTTTCTTAAATGAAAAATATGAACCAATCGCTCCAGAATGTACAGCCTTTGATGCCTTAACATGTACTCAGAGTATTAATTAGTCCTACAAAAAAGTCAACACATACGAAACAGCTGGTCAGCCTTTTTTATATTCCTGTATAATTCTACACAGCCAAATAATTAAATATTTTAGCATGACAATGATTCATCTTTTTTTATAATAACAATATTGTTGGCAACCCTACTAAGCAAGGCACCAATTTTGTCATCATCTAAACCTTTTCTCCATATTTTTGTTAAAAAGGTTTCCACACTACTTTCCTGCAACTCAGAAGCAGACTGGGCATCAGTTTCCAATGTAATAGTCAATATGATCACAACATTCTTATATGGGGCATTGACATTGTCACAGTATGCATGTAACATCAAGGCCGCAATAGGTGGAATGTTCTGCATCTGATCCAATATGGCTGCTCTGTGCCCGTTCTCAAAGTCTTGATGTAGAATCTGATCAATTTGCTCCTTTACAACATCTGGCTTTTCATTTCTATATGATCCAGTCTTAATTGCTGTGGGTTGGGAGAGATTTAATGTCTCGTGTATTATGTTTCCTAACTTCTTTGCGAGGCACTCCATTGTTGGGCTGCCCTCTGGTGTGGAAGCCATAAGCAGGACCGCTGGTTGCTCGGGTGACGGATTGCGAAGGATGCTTTTTGTTGCAGCCTTTAAGATCTTCCATGTCTTTGCATTTTGCTGTGGTGCCTCTAGTTGTAAAAGATTAACTTTTTCTCCAAAATCTTTTGCAAGTTTTTCATAATCAATTTCTTCCAAATGAAATGAAGGTGTTTCTTTCAAGTCATTTGAAAACAATAGCATGTAGCACATAATGACCCCCAAGATAATGATACAAAATACCCAGACATTTGTATTTGCCACTACCTCATCATACCAAACTGAGGAAGGTAGCTGAGCACTTCTTGGTGATGATGGAGAATGTATAGAACTTCTTCCTGATACGTTTACATTGTGGCCGCGGATGTGTCTGGAGGTAACACGTTCAAATTCCATACTTTCTTCTTCAAAGCTGTGCCTACTGGTTTCCCTATATCTAGCTGACAGTGGGCTTTCACCTTCAAAAACAGCACCATCGCTGTCACTTCTTCTACTGCTGTTAAAACTGTTGCTGCCACTTCTACGTCTGTTAAAGAAAAAAGAAGAAAAAATCCATGGATCTGATTTAAAATACTCAGTAGTACTAAATATCAGAATTTAAAATAGAAAAAGGTTACAAAATATGGTGATCAACATTACATTTATTATTTGAAATTAGTATTCCAATTTTTTTTTTTGTCTACAAGATTTTTGGTTACCTTTTAAGAAAATCTACTTCATCAGTATCTTCATCTCCTTCTTCTTCCTCTTCTTCTTCATCATCATCCACTGGCAAATCTGGATACAACTTGTTTCTCTTTTCTTCCTGTAATTGTAATCTTGTCTTTGAAACTGGTCTCTCTCGTGCCCCACCAGCAGACTTTGTTTGACGGCTGGTGTCATCTTCAGATGGCGATGTCTTCCTTCTTGGTGGCATTATTGAGCTTTTTACATGTAATTTTTGTCAGTGTAGTATTTACCTGTAATAGAGAAGTAGCTTATGAATATAAAATTCTGGACGTAAAAATTCTAGAGAAGGGTGATTATCGCTAACAGTCAGGCTCATGAGTCATAATGATAAAGACTACCAGTAAATCAAGATACCAAGCAGTAGTGGGTGTTGAACAACTTATTTCTATGGGAACTTTAACCTGTGACTAATCTCGATCATCTTATTAAACTAAGTTCATTTTTTGGGATGCATTTATTTGCCTGTTCATACATTCATTTATCTATATTTTCAAGATGGTTTCGGGTCTAGTCTTTCACTACACCTGTCGTATTTTAGTTGAACTGCACCTTACAATATTGCTGCTAATGGCGTGGACTTGGTTTATAGTATTAAAGATAACGTTAGTAATGTCCGAGTCAAATCACAGCGCTCATACAAAGACTGAGATCACAAACTGCCTGTCATTATAAATTAACCGAAAAGATGAAAGAAGTGAAACTCACTTCACCACTTAGCTGTTTTCCGCCCTTCACATTGAAGAGTACATTCATGGGGATTGGGTTGGCGGGAAATGCTTGATATCCATAAATATTTTTAATGGAAAATTGATTGGTAAAGCAACTCGTCATGTTAAGCATACAGGTATAGCTTGAGTGTTTTGACTTATGGGATGAGATAAATTACACTATTCTCATTTCTACATACTATAGATGCCACAAAAACTATAGGTCCCTGTGTCTTTATTGTTTCAGAAACGAGGCTCGTCAAGAAGCCATTTTGATACCACGAGGGTTTGGGCAAGTATATTTAGTGAATTATGTATGGATATAACTTGATTTACATTTAAAGTGGGTGGCACTATATATTAGAAACGTGCTTGTTTTTCTATTGGCATGGCTTTTACTCTTTTATCCATTGGTCTATTTTGTAATTTATGTTTTGTTGAAGGAATCAATAATGAAAGCACTCGGCACAAATCATTGTTACCGGCGACTGAAGCTTGGCGCCGCAACGGAATATCTGTTGGGCGATATCTGTCCTTAGCATATTTTACCCATCAGTGCAGGCATTTTGTTTCTTAGATATTGTTTAAGACTTATGAAAATTAGAGACATATTACAAATGTCTAATTCAGTTTTCCTCTTTAGTTTTCCAGCATTTCTTGGGATTTTTAATTTTTTTTCATACATTTTCCAATTTTTTCCTCATTTTTTTTCTTGCTCACCATGAAGAAGTGGAAAGGAAAAACAGTTCCTAAGGAAGGCAGATTTGGCTCCATCCTTTTGAGTTGTGCTGCCCCCTATTTTCCAGTATGGCTGAAGAATACGATAACAGCACCACCAATTTGATCATCAACTACCTTCCTCAAACCTTAACAGATGAGGAATTCCGCTCTATGTTCCTCAGCATCGGCCCGGTGAGGTCATCCAAGATCATACGTGATCGTTCCACAGGTTACAGTTATGGCTTTGGCTTTGTTGACTATGAGAAGCCAGAACACGCTGTCCAAGCCATTGAAACACTAGATAAACTAAAGCTGCAAAATAAGACCATCAAAGTGGCTTATGCTCGACCTGGAGGGGACCAGATCAAGAATGCTAACCTGTACATCCGCAACTTGCCCAAAGAAATGACTGAAGATGAACTTGAGAGTATTTTCGCTGACTTTGGAACAATAATCCAGCGCCGCATATTGAAGGATCCTTTCACAGGCACGTCCAAGGGGGTTGGCTTTGTGCTGTTTGACCAAAGAAACCAGGCTGAAGCAGCCATTAACATGTGGAATGGAAAAGTGGCTCCTGGGGGTGTAAATCCACTCAACATTAAATTTGCAGAAGAAAATGCCAAAAAAGTGCGCCCGCCTCCCATGCCATTTGGCGGAAGTGGCAGTGGAGGCAGTTTCATGAGAGGAGGAGGTGGCTATGGGGGCATGGGTCGGGGTGGAGGCTTTGGTGGAGGACCCATGCGTAGCCAAGGGTCCCGCATGCGTTACAACCCAATGGGAGGCAATTCCATGGGAGATGTCAGCGGTGGGAGCGTGGACGGTAACAGTGGTCACTGTTTATTTGTTTACAACATTGGTGCAGATTCTGATGAGAAAACCCTGTGGCAGCTCTTCTCTCCGTATGGTGTTGTGCAGAAGTGTAATGTGATACGAGATGCACAGAAAGGCACGAGCAAGGGCTTTGGCTTTGTCACCATGATGGATTATCAGGAGGCAGTGTGGGCCATGCAGAATCTAAATGGTTTTAAATTTGCTGGTGGGAGGCCACTTCAAGTATCATTCAAGACACAGAAGAACTGAACTGGCACTACTGAAGTGCAAGATAGGGTACATTTCCAATACATATGTAAACACTACAAAACGCTTGCTTGAGTATAAGAGTGACCTGTGCACATGTGATTTTCAGTATGCAGAATATCCTGACAGTGAGTTTTTATAGAACTAAGAAATCAGAATAGAATAAAGTAATAAGAATTTATTGTTAAAATGCAAATGCTTCTGTGGTGAGAAACTGGTATACATGCATTTTGAAATTGTTTTTGCCGTAGAAATTGTTGTTGAGATTAATAATTTCTGTCATTTTTGGTTGCCTGGCAATTGGTAATTCATTATCAAAAATTAGTTGCATGTTATGCCTACTGGTGTAACCTGTATGGTTGTATCTAGGTACATGAAAAGGAGATTTGTATTTGTTATGGCTTTTTTTTTCTCAGAGCATACGGTGTTTATATAATATATAAAGAGATTTGTTTTTAAGGGAATTGACTTCTCTGGTATTATTTTAGACATTTCATGTGTAAGTGACTAAGGTTCATCATGTTTTGGTGTGTCTAATTAATCATGGGTTGGAAAAGAAAAACGCTATGACACTGTATTGTACTACATTGTTACACGGTTGTTATTTTTTACTCAAAATTCCATTATCATTGTTTGTTGCCTTAGTGGTGGAGAGGTAAACTGACTCTGTGCCAGAGGGTCACCACACAGTATTGTAAACAGTATTAAATCTCTGTGGTGTCATTTTTTTTTTTTTGGGGGGGGGGAGCAGGGGGAGTGTTACAAAGCTTTAGGGTGGTGTTGTGATTATGCACATTATTGTATTTTGAATCCTTGCTTAAGTAAGTGTACTTGAAAACTACATGTACTAATAATAGCATATAACAGAGCTGTTTGTTTGCAGTTGAGGGAAAATGCTTTTATTCATAATTATTTTTTTTCAGGGGTGAATGTATAAGACATTAATAGATTGTTCTTCTATTTGAAGACCAAACTTTCAGCTACTTTGAAACTGAGTACTTAGTTGTACAGTTATAGCAATTCTTTCCCAGAGATAATGAAGATGACATTTCTTGGCCTCACAGAATCTTGTTTCATTGTGTAGTGTTTTTGGACTCGGTTGTGCCTCTTGGAAAACTTCTTCATGTTAATACATATCAGCAGACTTAAATATAGTTTAAATGTTCAAACTATTCAATCATTCATTATTCTAAGGTGTAGCAAGTTGGGCAATAACTTCAGAGGCTTATAAGTTGTTTTACACATGTAAAAAAAATAATAAAGTGGCTAATTCTATGCTGTATATATTAGAAGGCAATAGTACAAAGTCTTCTTGTACTTAAGTTATTGTAGGATTGATATCTAAAGAATGTATGCAAAAGTTAGTTCTAGGAAGTGTTAAAGGTCATAGTGTTAAAGCACAAAAGGAAGAAACAAAAATGGGTCCATTATCAAGTTAAAATCCTGGTTTAAGAAATGAGTTAGGTGGTGTTTTCACTCCAAGCAAATAATGAAACAAAAAATGTGAAAGTTTATTATTGTCTCCTGTCTCATTTTTATTTCCTTCTGTACAGTAAATAAAGATTAGTCAAAAAAGTATATACCTTTTACTTATTTTCTGTTGTTTTATCGAAGCACATGGAAATGTACTTCTTCAATAAAAAAAGTGAGTAAAAGTACAATACGAGAACTACCATGGGAAAAACGCCTTGTTGGTTCTCTTTAGGTGTAGCGACTTAACGTGGTCCACAGAATAACTGATTACTTTTCATTGCTATGCAAAAAGTAACACTTGATAAAGGTTTATTATTTGTAAAATTAGCAATAGATTGGAACCATCTGGAGGAGACTACTCGGCAGCGAGTAACTTATATTATATTATATTAATAGCGAGTATCTCCGAGGCCAACATGCGGCTACACAGGTAATGCTGTTGGTGTTTTCACATCTAATGCAACACAAAATCGGTAGTGCTTTGTTTCCCTTTTTAAATTGTAGCCTCGTTTTCAGAGAGAGCCAGGACGGCGTGGACCAAGGGGGTAGGTGTAAACGGTAAAAGTTAGTTGTTCTGATACTTCTTTGGTCTTCGTAGACGTAAAAGTCATACAGCTCATATCCCAGTCCCGAAGGGGAACTTCCTTATATTGTATTGAATGGAAAAAAGAAACGTTTTCTTTTGTCTAGTGCAAGAGTGTTGGTCTGAAAAGAGAACGTGAGACACAAAGTCGGATCCACATGTCAGTTTAATCCTTCACTTGCTTAAAATTTTGACCCAAAGTAGATTGAATCTTAAGTTGAAACCAATACATTCCATGTAACATATTTAGCAGTAGATCGTCCGAAAGCTTTGTTCATTTTCGCGTTTTCAGCTTGTAATGACGCCCGGTGTAACGAGACTGCGGGTTCGTATAACAGAGAATCCGCCCTGCATTTAGTTATAACGGTTTGGGTTAGTCTGACCTAAGTGGGTCAAAAATCCAGGGCGAAACTTACCTGTACAAATGAATGGGAAGCGGACTTTCTGTCATTGGGTACTCTCTGTCTTGCTACACTGTCATAAGTAAACTGGTGCAAAGCGTGAGACATGATAATGCACATTGGCATTTTGTATTAACAATATTTTCTTTTTAAATTTTACTGGCCCTTGATGTATTGACCTTACCACTTTTTGACAACAATCCTTAATTAGTTTTTTTTTTTTTTTTGTGCTAAATTATAGTATATAAGCACCGTATTTGAAGTTTAGACTACAAATTTAATATTATTAAGCAGTTTTATTTTAATCTGAAAGCATAATTAATACATATTTATGTCGCAAAATTCAGTAACCATACCCTCATTAAAAAGGTGTAAAAGATTTTAATTTGACAGTGAGCCCTTGTGACACTTAACAGAGGGTGTGGCATCATGCAGGAAGTTTCTATACACTTTAATGATTGACTATATCGATATCTGTTTCTATCAAATAGCATTCCTCTTCTTTTTTGAATTTGCCATTATATTACAATCCTGTTCACCCATTTATTTTCAACAAAGTATATGATAATATTACATACATCGTCTTAACTTCCTGATTGTTTTGTTGTGTTATGTTTTTAAGATTTATAAGATTTTTTTAATGGTAACTTTTAATTTGGTCAGTGGGTGAATTATAAATTAAAAATTATTATCTGCACTTTCACAACAGACGTGAGATTTTCTTCATGGATTATAACTTTCATCTTTTTTTGCATGTTTTTTTTCTCTTTTATTTCAATATATGACAATTTTGCACATTTATTATTCACCACCTAATTTTTGCACAAAAAATTATTGTATGACTTTGCCATTTTGGGTTGAAAAAAGCACAAAATTTAAACTCAAATTTCTTAAAGCAACAGCAATTGAAATCTGACGAAATTGCACCTAATTGATCTATGTGGTATGTAAAATATTTTGGGTAATGAGCATTTGCAACTTGCCTTAAGTTTAAAAACAAAATCCAGTCTTAAAAAATGTTCTAAAGATGTAGGGGCTATTAATCAGATATGCATGCATGCATGCTGCTTTGTCCCTTTTTTTAAATATGATACATCGATACCTTCAGAAGGGAAAAGAATATATATATATATATATATATATATATATATATATATATATATATATATATATATACTTTTTTTAATGAATAAAAAACTGCAATGCGATGCCCTAATTTTTATATTTTCTGATACTTTATTTAGGAAGGTTAGAATTTTTTCCCTTTTTTTTTCTAATTGAGTTTTTGCTTTTCAGTTTTCCAGCATTTTTACTGGAATTTTCAAGTATTTTCATTTTTTGTTTTTTTAATTTTTTCTTCTCTTTGCCCTGGAACCATGAAACTCCAACTCAGAGTGAGAAAGTCCAAACTTCAAAGTGTCTGCACGCTGGTATAGCCAGAGAGACAACGCACTGGAACCGTACTGGAACCAAAGCAAGATGGCGAGTGGAGATGGGGACAACCAATCAAAGACCACCCTCATTGTCAACTACCTCCCTCAGAACATGACAGACGAGGAGTTTCGCCAAATGTTCCTTAAAATTGGCCCAGTGAGGGTCTCACGAATCATTCGAGACCGCACCACTGGGTACAGTTTTGGTTACGGATTTATAGATTATGTGAATCCAGTCCATGCTGAAACTGCAATACAGACACTAAACAGGTATCAGATAGAGACCAAGACACTGAAAGTTGCTTACGCACGCCCAGGTGGTGAAACCATCAAGAACGCTAAACTGTATATTCGTAATTTACCAACCAGCATGACAGAGGATGAACTGGAGAACTTGTTCTGTGGCTTTGGTTCAATTGTGCAAAGGCGCATCCTCAAAGATCAGTTCACTGGGAACTCCATTGGGGTGGGATTTGTGTTGTTTGCGCAGAGAAATCAGGCTGAAGATGCTCTGAATGGGCTGAATGGAAAGACGGCCCCTGGGGGCCAGTATCCACTCAGTATTAAGTTTGCTGAGGAGCCGGCCAAGAAGGTGCATCCCCCACCCAACCCTTACAGTCCTGGTAGTATGGGAGCCTTTGGCATGGGAAGTGGGGGTATGGGGCGTGGTGCCATGGGAAAGTCTAGTCCTCCAACCATTGGCGGTGGCATGGGCGCCAGCGGTGACCACGGCCAGGGCCATACATTGTTTGTCTACAACATTGGCTCTGACTCCGATGAGAAGACCCTGTGGCAGCTGTTTTCTCCCTATGGCATCGTCCAGAAGTGCAATGTAATGCGTGACCAGCAGACTGGGGCCAGTCGGGGCTTCGGGTTTGTCACCATGATGAATTACCAGGAGGCCTGCTGGGCCATACAGAACCTGAATGGCTTCAGCTTCGCTGGTGGAAAGCGCCTGCAAGTTTCCTTCAAGAGGCCTAAGTGAGACCGTCATGGGGACGTCCTTTCACAGATCCCAGCTTGTGCTAACGGGTGGGGATACTTGTCACTTTATGAGAACTTTTTCCCTAGTTTTTTGTTTTTCATTATAATTGATTATTTGTCGTTATAAATGTATTTAATCGTAGGTGGAAAGAGACAGCATGGTCTCCTTGAAGAGAGATAAGTGAGAATGCTACATACCACCAGGAATATAGTTAAGAGCATTGCTTGGGTTACTGGTGAAGAGCATTTGTACCTACTTTTTTCTTTTTCATTATAATTATCAACTTATTGTTATAGATGGTTCATTAAAGTGAGTGAGCTAGGTATCTTGTGCACAAACAGTGTTGCTTGAAGTAAGGAAGTTTTTTTTTACTTCTTGAGATTTTATCATATAAGCATACTGTATTTGTTTTCTGCAAAGCAGAGACTACCAAAGTGCTGACGTTTCAGAACTGCGAGTTGCCAGAGCACTCGTGGCAATGAGAGGGGTAATTTTTTTGGTTTTTTCATTTTTCTCCTCTTTAGTTTCCCTCACAAATCATTTTAATGATCAGTGCTAATCATGTCTTGGTAGTATATCAGACTTCAGGTGGTAGCACTACGTTGACCTTATTGTTTGTTATTGACTAATATCAAGTATAAGATTGATATTGTATACACCAATACCACTGAGGTAGTCTACTCTTTCCAAACTCTGTACCCATAACGATTCTTTATTTCGAATTATCTCGTTTTTTGTTTCTTGCAAAATACCTTAAGAGACTTTTCACCTAGTATTAATCACTTGTAACTACTGTAATACAGCCTTGTTTGGCAAAAAGAAATTGTCATTTTGTTCAAATGTAGTGAATAAATGTCAGGTTACGGGCCAGTATGAGAGAGGATGAACCAGAGAACTTATTTCTCCAACTCCATGAAGTGGAAACATTTCAAGCAAATTTGTCAGTGTTTTTATTATGGCAGATTGTATGCCATATACTGTACACAATACAGGATACATTTGTAGAAAACAGAATGGGAATGTTGACACTGTCTAAAACACATTTAAAGTAATAGACATCTTAAATATTATTATATTTTCTTGGTATCCTTTATTACAGTGCCAGTCACCCAACATATAGATGAATGCCTGCATCTTTGTGAGATTAATGATGCACTTTTTTCCAACCTTTGCTTTTGGTACAAAAAGCTAATCATTTGCTGCAAGTGTGATCTTGAATAATTACAGATTTTGTTTTGGTTAATAATAGGTGAAAGAGAGCTAATAGACTTTTGTTAAATCTTTTTCATTGTTATTTACAAAGTTTAAATGTTGGTTGAACTCTGTGTATTGAAGACACTGTTAAGAATTATTACACGGATTCTGAAAGTTGCCAAAAAATGTACCATGCATGTTATACAGTGACTGGTGTGATTTTTAAGGGGTAAAAGTTGAAAAATATCCAGTTTACATATATATATATATATATATGCAACAACACTTTGTAATAGGTGTGTTTTAACTGATGGTGTTTCTGGAGAGAACCTTGTATGAAAATGAAAAGGATGAACCTGAAACCACTCTGCTGCTGTGCTATGGCATTTAACAAAAGACCAGAAGTATTGATAAGAATTAACAGAGGGATACGAAAATAACTCGAGTATTGATTTCTGTTGTAATTATGGGCAAGGGGTAAGGAGAATAACATTGATGTTCTTACATATGAGGCTGTAATTCAGTTGTGAAAGAGGTTTGCCCAACAGAGAATATATCTTCTTAGCATACTGGATGATTAGAACTTAAGGAAGCCTCACAATTTAACCAATAGGCAATATTATCTTTTAACTTGCTTGGGTAGTGTGTAAAGTTGCCCCAACATGAGTTAAGCACCCCAAGATCAGCACTCTCTGTTAAATGGATTGTGTGCTGTTGGTAAGGAGCAGAACATCAGAAAATATAATTTGGTGTTTACCTAGGAAGTATGAGAGAGATTTTGAGTTGGGAAGAGGAGGGAGGGGGTTTCCACTCACAAATCCAGAATCTGTACTTGTTTTAGAGACTTAAAATGACCAAGACTTGATGAGAAGATTGTTATAACATTAAGTTGTATGACTTCAGGATTTAGTGGTTAGGAAGGCAATGATATAATGTGGAACTTAAATACCACCATAGTATGTTTTATTTTAGAATAATCTTTAATGCATGAAATAACCCTTAGCTGAGACAAAATCGATATATTGACATAAATTATACAGGTTCAGTGTCAAGGGAAATGTTAATTTATTGATACCCTGTCTTATATACGATTCATTTGATCAACTTGTATAGAGTTATTTTCTAATAGCTGGGTAAAATGAATAATGTGTCCAGTAACAGTTGGCCGTTTTGTGCCCTCAGTTCTGTTGTTTTATGCTTTGAGCAAAGTCTGTTTACCACGCAGTTCTGCATCATTGTTTGTACTGTGCTTGTATGTGACTATTTCAATAAATAATTTGACATGAAATATGCTGGTTATTTTGTTATATGAAAAATTGGAGTTCAATGCTTCGATCATTTCTTAATCTAGAGATTAATCCTAGTTTAAGAGGTTTGGTGGGCTGTGGCAAGAAAAGGGACTCGATGTTGTTATTGCAAATTTAAAAAAAAGTTTTGGACCTCAATTTGTTTTATATGCTTGTCAACCACATTTTTTGACACATCAGTTGCAAAATTATGCTCAAATTTCAACTTGAATTGATACAAAACTAAAATGTGAGTCTTATACTAGGAATCCCTTGTGAAAGACATCAGCTTTTTTTTTTTCTATCTCCGTGTCACAAAATGTCCTTTGAAAAAACTTAATAATTACTAAAGAAAAGACTGTGATTACATTTTTATTAATAAATTTATTGATATCATCCTGCACTCCACTATTTAAGACCAGGAACACTTCCTGATATCATTTAATATACAAATATACTTTGTACAATTTATACATCTAGCAATTATACACAATACATCAAAATTGTAACCAAAATCTTGGTTACCAAAGTCCTTGGCATGCACTCTGTAAAGACTTACAGATGGAAAAATTATGAAAAGAAGGGAAATTAAAATGTGCTTGAACTGCTGATTTAATTCAGCCTCAATAACACAGTAATGTCAAGCTTTTTTGGAGAGGCACTCCAAAGTTGTAACGTGTCAACATTAGCCTGTAAAATGTGGCACTTGACATTTCCTTTAAAAAAAAATGCCTTTCTGCTATCTTTCTTGAAATTCCAGATGAATGTAGAAATCTCATCCATTTATCCTGCAGAAGTGCTACATACCACCTCAAAAATTTAAGTATGCTTTGAATGTATCAACTTGATCCTTTGTCACTTTGTGGCCATTGTGACAAATTGAACTAGCATTTTAAGGTTCTATTTTCAAACTCAAGTTCTTGAAAAAAATTTTTACAAAGTTGTGCAAAAATCCAAGAAAAGATTTTTAAAAAGTTAAAATCCAGAAACTGGGATACAACCACATCCCTCTATGCAGTAAATACTGGGCTCATGTATCAATTTTAAGTCATTTATTCAGCAACTTGACACCTTCATGTTTATTTGGTTTTTTTCTTCCTCTTTCCTCCCATCTTTCTCTTAGTCTTGGCATCAATCATGTTTTGGGCTTGTCTCTTGATTAGATTTCTCGTGAGAACATCACCGTCATCATCTCCACTTTCATCTTCATCTGAAAAAGGAGATACAATTTGTAAATTATCATTGAAAATCAACACATTACCATTTGTATTTTGACAAGTATAGTAATCTGGGTTTTGTGATATTGTAAAAATTCAAAACTATCGGGTGATGTCCAAGATGTTTTTTTTTTTTTATTGAAATTTAAAGGCATAGTTTTTCCTGCACATTTACACCTCAAAAGCTAAATAGGTAAAGTTATTTTCCACTAAAGAGCATGCAATTCAATATGAATAATCCATCAAACATATGAATGTTTTTCATTAATAGACTGCTGCCAAATACTAAATAATTCCCAAAAATAAATTCATGAAGGAAAGAGTGTTTCATATATTTCAAGGGCTTGTGCTAGCTTGAAACTTATGAATGTGACAGAAGGTATCATGCAAACAAAATGCACTACAACCTAAATCGAAACCTAATAAATGAAATGAAAACTTTATAAACATAAACCAAGCATTCTCAGACAAGTCTTTCACTTGGCCGAAGATGCTATAACAAATTTAAAACTTGAGGCATGCAAAAATGTCAATGCAAATTGTATAGTGCACACATTTAGCTTTCAGTCACTTACAACTGCTGTAGCCTAAACTGTCATCTGAAGATGAGGAATTACATAAATACTGTTGAGTAATTTTGTCAGGTTAATATGCTAATTACAAAGATGTGTACACTCTGGTGCTCTTACAAAATTTTCTTTTAAAATATTGTTTATTTTCGCACATTCACTCATCACGAACACATTATCACATAGAACAGATACAATGAATTATAATTTATCTACTTGAATTCTACCTAATAAAGTCTGTTGCTAAGGGTTATTTTTCTACAAGCAAAACATAGTTTTTGATAAATTGTGAAATAGGAGTATTTGAATGTGGATGTACGTGTCAAGTAGCATGTTGTGTAGAAGCAAGATTAGGGTTGACATTTCATATGCAATTTTTACTTTTCTGGTCCAGATTAAAAGTCACAAGCTGATCAGATGAAAGTAGATTCCAACTCAAATGTCAACCCCATGTGTTAAAAGAAAGTGTATATTAACTCAACAGTTTTCTGGACAGAATACACTGTGACTGTATAGTGATACTCACCGTCATAGACATTGTCTTTATGAGTAACTGGAAGTTTGATCCTAGTGTTATATGAAGGTAGTTTTCCTTCTATACTGGCATGGAACTGAAAAGAAAATGATAATTGGAATACTGATTGTGTACACTTGTATTTGATGGGTCATTTAAAATGGGGTGGAGGTAAAGAATCCCCATCCTTGCTGTGACATCAGTATATATTCTCGGCAATTATAAGCGATTTTTCAGTCAACATTCTGTGATATGTAATCAAGTTTAAAACTGCCAAAATAAAATTTTGCACATCTGTACCAAAAGATACCTGCTGAAGCTCATTTGTGAAAAGATTATAACTTCATAGACATCACTACCTATTACAGGTGATTAAGGACCTCCAGGCTCTACTTACCTCTTCTTCCTCCATCAGTTTAAGAGCTTCACTGATATCTTTGCCATCCAAATCTTCAAGAAGTTTGAGTAACTTTTCTTCAGCTGTGGATAACAAGTCCAGTACATACTCGTCTGATGTAGCTGAGATCTGTGCCTGTGGAACGTGACCTTTGTTCTGGAAGACAAATACAGATTGTATGGTACCTGTTATTGACAGTTCAACACCAGAATTGTTTAAAGTGTCTTTTTAATAACTATATCACTCAAAGAAAAATAAAATATTTAAAAGGTACAACATGACTGTAATAAAAAGTATAACTAAGATTTCATTTTCAAATCTTATGTTCTGAATGGGGAACAATGAATTTACTTTAAGACATAACTAAAACCAGGTATACAATATATATTTACTATTTCCCATGACCTATGAACACTTTCCTTTCTTGATGTATGCTGTAGTAGTCTACCACTAAATACTTACTGCTTTGAGGTGAGTGAGTTTATCAGAAAGGTGCTCCACGCCTGCCTTAACGCTGACCAGGATTTTACTTGCTTTGTCAAGTCGCTCTCCTGCTTCTTCTTTACGCCTCTCTTCCTCTGCCAGATGTGTCTCAAATTCTTCAAGTAACCTCTGTCCACTGGAATGATGAAAAACCAAGATATTATTTTAATGTCCCATACTTTTCATTTCAACAGCAAAACTACAAAAAGTACTTTCAGAAATCCAACACATACTGCTGTATGAATGATTTGAGCGTTTTAGGAATAAAAAAAATTAATGTGTTGTATTGCTAGAATAATTGCTTACAAATACATACTAACCCTCTCCTCTCATCACCCCCTCCTCATACAGAAGTATAAATATCTTACCTTGAAAGTTTGGCTTCTCCTGTATATTTCATATCTTCGAATTCCTGCTGCAATTTCTCCTTCTCCTCTCTTAGTCTCTGTATCTGTTTCTCTGAGTCTTTCTTAAGCTCCTCCAGATGGCGCTGTGTCTCACCCTGGTTCTCAAATCTATCAACCACTTCCTAAAATAAAATTAATAAAGTTACTTATTCATCCTTTAGTATATAAACCCTACCTTTATGTGAAACTTAAAACCTATTAACACCAATTTCCAAATGATGTAGGAAAAAGATTGTACAATCCAAAACACTCGTCAATGTGTGTCAACCAAGTTTATTCAATATTGAACCAAAGAAAAAACCTGTTTATTTACCTTTGTATCTGATACTCCAGTTGCTTCCTTGATTCTCTTGAAAGCTTCTTCATAAGTAGTAATCTTGGCCTGTTGGTCTTCACCCAGGATAGCAGCTTTTTCTGAGGGTGACAGTTCATCTTGCTGCAAAGAACCTCGTTGGGCCTGAAGAAAAAGGGAAAATATGGGTAATCATAGTTCAATAGAATGGAAAACTTAAATGCAACTGTGTATTTAATTAAGTGCTGTTAATAAGACGCATCACAGAAATGCTCTATGGGATTTTTGAATAAAAAGCAATCACTTTATGTAATCTGTACAAATAATATGGTATAATATATAAATGTTAACAAATATAAGAAGTTTTACAGCAAATCATAATGACAACTTGGTGAAAAACTTACAATTCTTTTTTCTGTACGTTCGTGCTGCATTTTCTTCTCTTCTGCTTCCTTCTTCATCTTCTGGAGTTCAATTTCACGTTTTTTACGATCAGCATATACCACCTCTTCATGTTTGTGTAGTTCAGCTTGTGCAGCTTCTTTAGAAATATGTGCATCATTGTACATTGCACGTAGCTCCTTCAGTTCCTCCCGACACCTCTTGATTTCTGCCTCCATTGCATCAAGCTGATTGGGGAAGGACAAGGACTCCTAAGAGATAAAAGAATTCATGAATGCTACAGATTAAAATGTTTTATGGTATATTAAATACTAACAAAGTTCCAGCATTAGATTTTTTTCAAGATCCCTCATTTCTGATAGTAACTTGTTTTAAAGAACTTTAAAATCAACTTTTTGATGTATCACTATCAGAACATCCAGTAGTTCTGACAAAGATAACAGTGGTTAAATTTGTTGGGATTTTATCAAGTATCTGCCTAATGTGCACATAAGAAGATTTCTTTTCATGATAGTTTTTTAACAATATGCAAAAATGAATCCAACTGTGGGTAGATTTTTTTTTGTCCTTTCTGATCAAATAAGTTCAAGTTGGATATCTGAAAAGTTTAATGCAAATTTGCCTCTGACATTGTTTGTGTCTTTGAAAATAAAAAAAGAAAACATACCTCTTCTAGTTTAGATTTGATTTGTTCATAAGTTCTCCTGATCTGCTCAGCTTCATTACATTTCAGCACAGCCTTGTCCAAACGGTTCTCAAGATTTCTCAAATTCTGAAAAAATAAACAGGACAGAATAAATAAACATCTTGATAATCTGGGTTCATGTTTGTTTGGAATTTCATATTATTTTTAAGTAATTTTTTTTTTCATAAAACCTAGGCACAGTTATTCAAAACCCAAACTACTGGCCAAATCCAAAATATCATGTACAGTTACATAAATGGCTTGCAATACATTAACTAGTAGGAACTAGAGAATTAAGTTTATTGCATCATAAATTATGCAACTTACCGCTGCTGCCTCAGACTCCCCTGCATCAGTTGCCACTGCGTCTGATGCATCCTTCACCATCTGGTTATACTGTGTTTGCAGTTCTTCAAGACGCTTCTGCTTAGTAGCCGTCACATGTTTTAAAGCATTAAGCTTCTTTATGTAGTCACAAACCTTGCGATCCATGATGGTAATGGCATTCTAGAAAATACAATTAAAAATGCAATTCTTTCTGTACAGGTCTGTTTAGATGAACTGGACAAGATGTTTTATTTCTGAGAGCAGATTATGCTATTACAATCACTTTGCTTCTGATAACTACTTTTGCTAGATACTTGCTAGATACTTGCAACAAACCCCTCATCCTACCACCAAACAACATCTATCTATCATTTCTGCTTAGATATATGCCATACTTACACTGCCTGTCTTGTTCTTCATGGCAGCTCTCTCAACTTTTCTGCCATGAAAAGCTTTGTTGATCACATGGTCATCAGCCTGCAAAGGCAGAAAAGCATAGTAACTGCTTTAAGCTGCAAAGATTGTGTGATGTTCATAACATTTAGGGCAAACTGAAGAAGCAACAACGTTCAATAAACTCAGAGCATACAGATCAAAACTGTTACTTGCACACAAGCACAATTTAATTCTAGGCTTACAGACATCTTGTGAGGAGGAGGGGGGGGGGGTATTTTCACTCTAGCTCTAGATCCTATGCCACTTCTCAAGTCAGTCACACGAGGTGGTATAAGGTCCACTCCTTCAGAAAAAAGACCCCCTCTTTAAAATGACTGGTTACAGACCTTGATTCAAATGGGAAATAATAACAAAATCATAATTAAAATTGTTTCTTACACTTAAACAGTCACTGAGCTTCTTCCTGAGTTCCCAATTCTCCTTTCTCAGCTTTTCTATTGTATCTCGGTTCTGTTTCATTGTCCATTGTGAATTTTCATAATAAGCTTTCCTGTCACCCTCTGAAATTAAAATAAAATTAAGAGTAAAAATGTGGATGGTTAGCAGATGACTGGGCAAACATTCTACCACTTTAGCAAAATGTTACATTAATCAATATAAAAATGTCACTGTTTTTTAAACAGAGCCAATACTTATTGGACAAATATTACAGTAAAAATCAACCTCCCTACAGTGCTACACATTTGCTAGAATCGAAAAGTCATCCACAAACATTATCATTTATATCATCATGGCAAAAGTATAGACATTCAGAAGTGATATTTCAATTTTCACGTAAAGACAATGGGTGGTTATAGATTTTACATTTACTGAGAGAAGTAAATAAATAGCATAAAATATGGTTCCTGAAGCCGTCCAATTTTTTGTCCCATGCACACGTATTCACTTACAGCATTTCTATAATTGCTGAGAGTGCAAGAAGAACATTTTTATATAAAACATAAGAACCTCAGTGCTTGGGTGCTAATTCGTGCTAGCTGAAGCCTTGACATCGGCAAGCATTGCTTTGCACTGCCCATGACTCTTCCCATTCAAACGCATCGACCAGACGACAGACTTACCAAGTAAAGCGATTTTCGACTTCACTTCTTCAATATGCTCCGTTATAGCTCGCTGAGCCATGGTTGAAGTTGCTATTTACTGATTTATTTCCAGGGAGGTCACTTTTACTCCAGTGATGGTTCTTTGATTTGAAAACTCAGATTTGTTTCTGCGGGCACTTGCTCCCCGTCGTTTGTTGTCCCCAAGATGGCGGTGGTTGCTGTTTATGTGACGTCACGCCTGGCTTGGTCGCTAAGTTAACTGCGCATGTCACTCAAGACAAGCCTTTCGTAATATTTTTTGTGCAAAATGGGTAGCGGCCTGTTAAATGAACTCGCGAGTTTGACTCACAAAGTTCCGAGAAAAAAATTTGATGGTAAATAGAGATCCATTTATCAATTTAATTTTTGTAGATCTAGTATTTTTCCAAGGTAGTTCACATTACAATATGGAAAAGTAATCTTAATTAAAATGAAACAAAAATAAAGTAATAAAAATTAATGAGATAATAATAATAAAAATAACTAGAGGATCAGAGAGGCGATACCGCCTCCGAATATTGTACCACCAGCTGGAGCAAGCGCATTTGTATAGACCCCCACATACACAAAATAAGGGACACAGCCACCAGTCTTGTGCTTGACAAGCTGTAAAAATGCAATCAACAAGANTTCCCATAACTCCTTCCGTAGGGTAGATAATTAGCATTTAATTTTGCCATTTTTAGACAAGGGTGCATTGCAATGAGTGCCACACCCAGACCCCAATACCGACAAAGCCCAAATTTTACGTGGAACGAGTTGAGATTATAGGTGACCTAAATCCATGAGATGGGTATGGGGGGCCTTACCGTCTAGGAGGAGAAGCGGTAACGGTAGCCGTCCGGCGGAGCCGGCGGAGCCGGCGGAACGATCCGGACGAGACCGAAACCATGTGTACCGCCAGCGCTAACGCTGGTGGTACAATAATGTAAAAAAGACAAAAAAGACATTATTAAAAGTCAATATGTGTATATATTTTATTATAAATATACCATAATAAGGGTAGATATAATATTTATGATGTAAATATAATGAAAATCAATACTGTTTATGAATGAATACAATGCAGAACAAACTTGAATTACCACCTTGTTTGAAAATCCCTTCTTTAAAGCTTGCAATATTTGTCTTGTTTATCACAGTTGAAAAAAAATTACAAACACTTAGCAATAAGATCAGAAGTGAAGCATACATTTGGGTTAAATACAGACCTTTACGTGCGTTAAGCGACCATATAGATTGGTTTGTTTTAACTTAATTTTACCAAAAAACAAGCATGGATCCAGATATATTTTCTAACAGACTGCCAAATTATCTTTTTTTATCTATCCTCCATTTTAAACCATTTTCTAACAGCAAAATTAGATGTTGTCAATGTAATCTTGAAAAATTCTGACCGTCTTCCAGAACACCCAAAAGATGGCCTCTGTCTGCCCCTGAAAAAATCTCTTGACACACCTGATAAATCTTTTAAATAGAAAAATTGACATGTATGACTTAAATCAGGGACACAGTGCTAAATATTTCCAACTTTTGGTGGCTGCTGCTTGCATGGGAGATGGGAGGTTGATATTTCTACATTTCTATTCGATCCACACATGAATATATATATATATATATATATAGAATTCTCATATGAAATTGATTTTTCAAAATGTAACAAAAATAATCAAAACAGTTACATTAGGTGCATATCATATGAACTATACTTCATTTTTTTGTTAATTATAAATAAATATATCTTCACAATTTATTATTTCTTATCTATATGTACTTTATATATCTTTTGTTTTTTTTTCTATCATGGTAATAAAAAAGCATACTCAACTGCAAGGAAAAAATAAGTATTAATTGCCACCCCTAATCTGTTTCACTGTTTATCATCGTAAGTGGTGGTGCCCATATCTCTACCTTTATAAAACTATAGTACATGTAAATATTTCTTGAGCTGTAAAATCACTAAATATGTAAATATACACATACTTATACATGTATGACAATTTGCACCAACTGCAAACATAAACTAAATATGTGCAGTATCACTAAATGTTCTTTCAAAGCTGACGAAATAGGATGCAAACTATATATGACCTTGTAAAATATAAATGTCTAAGATATATCTAAAAAATAGAGCATGAAAGATGATGAATATGATGACATTTTTTATATATATTTATCCTTTTAAATGAAATCGACTAAGTAAACTTAAAATGTGTTTTTTTCTATATTTTCAAAATCCTAAGCAAGCAAATATGTGACACAAACTGGGCAAATAGATATAAAGGCCTTTCTCCTACAGTCATAACTGTTAACAAAATAAGACATTAAAACTTATCCAGTTCATAAGGAAATTCACCAGGTTTAAGAATATACTTGCATGTATATGAATAAACTGCACTGAAGCGGCTGAAAGGAACTGCATTTTCATCTGCCAATGCACAGACAAGTGGAGCCATCTTTTGGCAGATCATCAAGAGTGACATGCAGTCTCCTTCTGCCCTGTGGGTGTTTACTGGAGGATGGCCAAAAACGTGTTCAAATACAGCTCTAAGACCAAAAGATTTAGGTGGGGTGCTTATGTCAACACCATTCTTCTGAACCTGATTGTGTAGAACATCTACTTCATTTGTTGATGGCCCTGTGGCTGAGTTTTTATTCTCCTTCAATGTCTGAGAACCCACTCTGTCAGTTTCACCAGGCTCTACCATAGCTGAAACAGGTTCCCCTGTTAAAATGCTTTCAGAACTTTGTAAATTTTTGTTTTCATCTTCCTGGTTACCAGTTGAATCCAAATAAAGCTCAGGTACCTCCTCATACCTGTCCAGTGCCATAACTAGGGTTTCATCCTCCACATCTGATCCCCAGTCTAATTCATCCTTTACAACAACAGGGATATCTGTAGCAGACTTGGACGGGAATAGTTCTCGTTTCACCGAACTTCCTGAGGCACTGTTGAGCAATTTTGCCATTTTTTGGGTTGGAGTTTCTTGCAAGGAGCTCCTCCTCTTCAAGCTGCTCAGAAAATTTCTTTCAGGTGTCTTCTCAGACAGTTCCTGGATGGATTTTTCTTGAGCCCTAGACACCCTGTCATCTTCAACTTTGTCTGGAATTCGTCTTAGATCTTGCTCTTTACTGACCCCACATCTTGCTTCATGAACTGACAGATTTGGAGTAAGTGTGATTTCTCTCCCATATCCACCTCTTCCATAGATTGTCTTCAACATCTTTAAAGTATCTACACACAGTATTCCCTGAGCTAGGCTGTGGCCTAAAAGGTGACATTAATCATACACAGAATATTCAAATGAAACAACATAAATGTTTATTTTTGTAAAGGAGTAGTCTTATGCATTTTGTGTCTGAACACATTGTAATTACAGTAATTATAGAAACTGTTTCATATTATACAATGTCTATTAATTTCCTGAGATTGTTGTAATACAATAAAATAAAGGAGTTTCATATAAACAGACTATTCATTTTCACCTGGAAACTTCTTTAACAAATTTTATAGAGGTTAAATTGTGACATTAATTACAAATTTAGCGACTTCAATTTAATAATGGACATGAAGCTGATTACTCTACAGTGAGGGGTCAACACTTAGCAAACTTGACTCACCAGAATTTTCTATCTCTGTTTTGAGAAGAGGGAAGTCAAAAGCATCTCCATTATGAGCAAACAGACAAACAGGGGGGTCTAGTCTTGCCAGAAATGCATTAAACATTTCAGTAGTCGCACCAGTAAAATTCATCTGATGGTACAAGTTGTCATTGTCAAGACCTGAAAGAAAAGAGCTAAATAATAAAAAATATATCAAATATATCAAAAACACATGGAAATTATACTACATTTGACTAGGAAAATGATAACTTGCCCCTATGGAAAAAAAATAGCAGCATAGTCAATCATCCAGCAGCTGAATACACTAGTACTGGATACAACTGAAAAAAAAAAAAAAAAGAGAAAATGTACTGCTTACTTTTGTTGGCATAGCATTTAACTTGCCTGATTTACCAAGAATTTATGCATTTCAATCACAAGATATCACGAGTGCATTTTTTAAACAATTTTTAAAAATTAACCAAGTTCATATGTAGCACGTACATTTGGTAATACATTTAATGCTTATGAATTAATTAAATGACTTGATAGCAGTTAAATGCACCAGCTACACTTTTTAAGTTCCCTACCTGTTAACTGCCAAATGTTGTGCGGAATTGGTTTCATGGGATAGAAACACAGGGTAAGTTTGTTCAGAACACGCGCTGGAGAAGATAATCTGTTTCTGAATGCCTCCAAAAGCTGAGTTCTGTGAACAGCCACTAGGCTGCATTCAGTGACTCTGGTCTTTTCTCTGGCATTTAAGAGCCCTGTAGTCTCGAGATCCAGGAAGACGAATGTTGAAATTTTGCTGCCTTGGCTTGCCATCATGACCCAAAGGCCTTTCCTGAAAAAAGTTTATAAGGTACTTTTTTTAAAAATCTGCATCTATTGAGAGGATAACTTAGTCTCTTTTCCCAAAGTTTAAACAAACTTGTCCCAACACATTAAACAAACATTATTTTCAGCTTAAACCCACCTCAAAGCTTTTTAAATTTTAATTTTAAATAATAATAATAATAATTATATAATAATTTTATTGAGCATAGAGATGTTTTATATTTAAAGGCTCTCTAACTACCACAAGGAAAAATATACATATTAAGTGTTTGCACCATAAATAATAAGAAGATACAGGTGAATGGATAAAATTCTTTATATTTGACCCAAATTATCTGCATTTTAATTATCCACTAATAGTCCTAATCCAGCTTGCTTGATAGTTAGTGAAAACTATATACCGACATAGATCTATTTTAAAAATGTTAAGTTTGATCAAAATGGATGTCTTACATTGCAACTTCCCACAGGTTACCTCGGGCAAGGAATAAGACATCAAATTCCGAGACTGGGTTCAGTAGGCTTCACTGAGACAAAAACATTGGGCGAAAACAAAGTTGAATCTTGAGAGAAAGTTGTTCAAAGCATAGAAGTAGAGATACTTCTATGTTCAAAGTTAGCCTTTACTTTCAAGCTGCAAATTTGCGGTTTTATACATCAACCATAACATTACCTGTCGCAGTCCCGAATATATCACACAATGACCAAGTAAATGTTCATCACCTCGTCTTCCAGTCCGATTCTAAAGACTTTGACCCTTCCAGCTGGCATCCCTTCCTTTCAGAAACACGGCACGCTGACAAGGGAATTCCCACTTCCGGTGTTTGCGCGTGGTCACGTGAGCAAAATAAATGCAGCGGATGATGTCAGGCTCTTCTGGTAATTGCGTGGTGTGGTATTAATGGCTTAAATTAATTTACTCATACGATAGAATCTGTATTTAACAAATATTTGTACATATAAATCGATTGAATATCTCAATATGTAACCTTTGAACTATATGAAATTTACCTAAAACCCGATTTAATTCTCCAAATAATGAAAATAAATATTAGAATATAGGGGGTGCTCTCGAGCCGGCCAGAAGTCCTTGCCGCCATCTTCAGTCTGGAAGCCACTGGATTGCTGGAATTCTTGAGAATCGCATCGGATATTTCAGTGAGTTGATCATCTTTCGTCTTTATTGTAATTGTTCTCAATGTTGAAATATGTGTTCTTTTTTTTGATTAAAGTTTCATGGTGATATGTTGTGTTGATTTGTAAAAAACGTGCAGAAAGCATTATGACCTACAAACTCTCGGCACGCCCAAAGCCAATGCAATGAAGCTAAAGCTGAAGCCTTGGACGTTGGAGAGGGCAGCAGAGTTTGACAGTGATCAGCATCAGCTATTAATGGTGTAGATAAAAAACGCAATGTAGCAAAGCATTTCAAAGTTATTGCATGCGATTGTGAAGCAGCTTAGTGCTAGTAGACCTTGTGCAGCATTCTAAATGCCTTTCAGACTTTCTTCCATTCATTTAAGTTAATGTGATTTATTGATACGATATTGCCAAGCTCAAAACCCATTAAGAAAATGTGAAGTTATAATGGTGATTTGATTTTCTGATGTGAAAGTAATACTTATCTTAGAATATCACATTGGTAGACTTGATGAATGCTAGATCTAGAAGAATTGCTATTTTTTTTTTTTTTTTTTTTTTTTGATAAATTATTATTTATAGGCCAACTTAGTTCGTGCTCTAATAAGGAGAAAGGAAGGTTTAGAACAATATCAGTTTTATTTAGAATAATTTGTTTTAAAAGGATCTAATATTTATGTTATGAAATATTGCTATTGCTTCTTCATGCAGGAACTACCAGGTCTAAATTAGTTTCCCTTTCATAGTCTGCGTAGAAATTAATTTAGAAGCACTATTCGGGTTTAAAATCTGATTTTTAGAGCATTTGACCTTGTGGTATCTTATCTATTGAAAGTCATACAGAGGAGTGCTCACTGAACATTTTGATTAAATTATGTTAGTACCTCATATCAAAATATCAAATCAAATATATTTGTGTCTAAAAGCAGCATAGTCTTATAACTGGATCTACTGAAAATGTTAGAAACCTCTGTTTTGACTTTTAAAACCAGAATAAACTGTATGAAAAATTGTGTGGATGTTATAGAGGTCATGAAAGATGATAAAACAGATTCTTTTCCTGTTGCATATATCTGCCTTAGCATTTTTCCACTATGAGTATGAAGCATATTTTGAAACAATGAGAGCACTTTGTTTATTAGAAAAAAATTACTATTTAAATCAAGACAAACAGCCATTGAGCCAACAATTTTTAAAACTTTAAAGTTTTAGCTTTGCCAAAATAGAAAGTGTGCAAGCCTTGGCTGCAGCTGTTAAATGTGCATGTGAATGCTATCATCTATTCTGACACATACATAGAACAGGAATATTGATCTTGAAGTCACTTAACCATAGAACTGTCCCATGAATTAACCCTCAGTTGCACTGGGTTATTGATTATCTTCAGTCTCGCTAAAAGATGCATAGTCAATAGTTGTTTGGAGGATGGGCATGTTATAGCTACAATTGTAATGTATAATCCCAAAATGAAAAAAATTTGAATATACACATTTTATTCATTCTCAGTACACAGTAATAAAAGCTATATTAGTAATACAAAAGATAAGACAGATAGGTCTTGTGAAACAGTGGTTATGATCTCATAGTTTTCTAGATGTTATGTTGCGCCTGAGTCTTTATTTAAGGGTAATACGGAGGGAATTGTGTTTTAAATTTATGAGTTTATTCCTCATTTGAGTATGCCAAGTAATGACTGACTTACTTCATTTTATGTAGAATATAAATATATTAAGGTAATATGCTTATTAATTTTTAACCATTCAGATATAGAATAAATTGTAGTTAAAATACACTGCCCTGTTTTTAAAGAAATCATAAGTTTGTGGTCAGAAAGACCAAGCTCTATGTTCCCCGTTTTACATCAAAAAAAGAATTCCTGAGTAGTAGCAGCTTATCAGTTATGACTCAAACCTTATGTATATTGATTCTGTTTATCTGCTGTCCAGTATCCTATCTGTGGCCATACAGCTATAGGAAAAATGCCCTGATTACTGGCTTCACTAACATTATTATCAACTAAAATATTTAAGTTAATAAGATATGGTAAGCTCTATCATAGGAAATTGGCAAAATGAAAAGTTAATGTTTGTATTTGTGTAGATTTTCTATTTATCATAAGCTAAAAATGTGATAACTTTCCTGCTAGGCAAGATATTTTACATGCTTCTTAATAGTTAAAGGGAGTCAGAGGCAACACACATCTAATACACAGGTATTTTACAAAATGTGCACACAGCCTTATTGCCAAAATAGCCAATGTTAACAGCTGGAAACTATGTGCTGTTGCTATGGTGATTTTCCCTCTGGGGCTGTCTATTGGGATTGGTAATGACTCAAGCATGCAGTGTAGTATGATTTATATGAGAGAGGCAGGCTGATACTTACATTATGTCTGCTGTGCATTGGACTTTATTGACTTTTCTCCAACAGCAACTGGGATATAGGGTATGTGGGCTATTTGCTGGGCAGTATTTTCATAGGTAGTTGTTTAGTCATGAGAAGAATTCTGGTTTGTGGAATGTAGAAAATAAGAACTATTCATGATTTTGCAATTCTGTATTATTACCAAGTACGTGGTAAGTTATAACTTAAATTATGAGGTGATTTTCTGGTGGTATTGCATTTTATGAACTAGTCATTTCATTATTTTTAGCATTTGGCAAAATTGCTCTTAATATTGATTGAAATCAACAGATGATATTCTTATGCAGACCTGCTTTTGATTCCTAACTTAAAGAAAGCCATTTGCATCTTACTATCCAAAATTTATTTGACAAAATTGATCAGATTTTTTGCTTGTATAAAAATAAGGCTAACTCTTAGAAAGCCACCTGGTTTATTCAGTTAAGTAAAAAAAAATTGTTTCTATTGCAGACATAACTTGGTCTCAGAAGTGACAAGCACACCATGACGTCTGCCGAGGTTCATCCTCGAGAGATTAAAATCCTCGAAACTGCAGAGGACATCCAGGAAAGAAGAGCAGAGGTTTTAGGGCGCTATGCTGCCTTTAAAGATGCCACACATCAGCGTCGTTTGATGCTGGAAGATGCCCGCAACTTCCAGTATTTTAGACGTGATGCTGACGAGCTTGAAAGCTGGATTCTTGAAAAACTTCAGACTGCCTCAGATGAGAGTTGGAAGGATACTACTAATCTGCAGGTTTGTTATAAATATTGAAATCATATATATATCACTTTTAGTGCCATGGGTTCATAGATTACATTGATATATTATAATATCTTGCATAATTTTTTTCTGTTGAATAAGTGTGTTGCTTATGATTTAAGAAGTTTTGTAAAAGGGGCCTTACAGTTTCTGCCACTGAGTATACTAAGGCATAAAATCCAGAGAAATGATTTTCCTGGCATACCATGACTCTAACAAGTTACCAATACCACTCTTTTTTTTTTTTTTCTCAGGCCAAGATCCAGAAACACCAGGCCTTTGAAGCAGAGGTGCAAGCCCATTCTAATGCCATTGTGGAACTGGACAACAGGGGAATGGAAATGATCAATGCTGACCACTTTGCATCAGACATTATCAAGGTTTGGGAAGCTTTTTACTGATCAATATCATTGTTCATGCGTTGCTGCATATGTTAGAAACTTGTTTGTTGGTTGTGTTGTTGGCACCTATTATGATATTTTTTTACTTACGGTTATTGCTATTCGATTAATAAAAGAATTTTTAAAGTGTCATCATGCTATGTACTATTGCCATTTGTCTAGTCTTAAGCACTCTGCAGCTATATTTTCGTCATTATTTTATAGTTGGTATGTTTCAGTCTTTCTGTCAAGTGTGGTTTGTAACATGTATGATGGCTTTTACATTTGGGGATATAATATTTTTCTAAATATTAAAAGATAAATTGTGATTAAAATTCAGAACCATTTCAAATTAAATTCCCATTCAAACGTTCCAGGCCCGTCTTGAGGAGATCCACAGACTGTGGGAGCTGTTGCTGTCCAAGCTGCAGGACAAAGGGATAAAGCTTCAGCAGGCACTGGTCCTGGTGCAGTTCTTCAGAGAGTGCAGTGAGGTGATGTTCTGGATCACAGACAAGGAGGCCTTTGTCACCTCTGAGGAGTTTGGACATGACCTGGAACATGTGGAGGTGTTGCAGAAGAAATATGATGAATTCCGCAAGGTGGGGTAATCTGATGTGTGCCCTCAAACCCCCCTAAAAATATATATATATATATTTATATATAATAATAATAACAAATAGAACTAAATGAAAAATAAATTAAGGTAGAATCAAAATGATGATTTCATTAATATACTTAATGTCTACTCCTGAGTTGTCCACTCTCATGGATGAATATCACATCATTTCTGTAAACTAGATTTACATGTATACCCATAAGACGTTGAATGACCACTACAATTACTGTTGGCGTTCTGTAAATCTGTAGGTAGCATGTTATATATTTAAGTTACTGTTACAACTAACCACCGTGTTGTTTGAATTTAATAACAATCATGTACTGTTGGATGATTCCAGGACTTGGAGAGCCACGAGTATAGAGTGACAGAAGTCAATGGTATGGCAGAGAAGCTGCTGTCAGATGGACATCCCTCTGAGGAACAAATCAGGGAGAAACAGATTGTAAGTCAAGTCACAGTCTTAATGATTCAGCTGATGGATTCAAATTTAAAATTTTGAAATGTAAAATTGCAATGATTTAATAGCTGAAGTGTACATGGATTTGAAAAACAAGGGATTTGATTTGTAATGCAACATGTTGATGAGATTATATTCTCAAAGTCAATTTACACCCAAATCACAGAAATCTTTCACAGTTTTTGTATTTAATCATATTTTCTGATTTGCAGGAGCTGAATGAAGCCTGGCAGAGACTGAAGCAACTTGCAATCCTGAGGCAGGAGAAACTGTCTGGGGCACATGAAATCCAGCAATTCAACAGGTATCAACCATTGGCTTAAACAAAATTGATTCTGACCAGGCACTGCACATTGACATACTCTTGTAGCTTTTGGCTGGCATAAATTGGATTTTTTTTCCAAAGTTATTTTTTGGAAGAGGCCGAATGATAGAAGATAGATTTTAAAATGTTGCCTTCACTGGATGATGCTGAGAGGAGTGAATAATATCTCTTATAACAAATTTTCATAGCATTTAATTTGCAAATGTAACTTTTTTTTTATCTTTTCTCTCTTATTCAGAGATGCTGATGAGACCATAGCTTGGATCACAGAGAAAGATGGCCTGCTGTCAACAGATGACTATGGCCGGGACCTAGCAAGCGTTCAGGGACTGCAGCGCAAACACGAGGGAGCTGAGCGCGACTTGGCTGCCCTGGAAGAACGTGTGACACAGTTAAATGCCGAGTCTGGTCGCCTGTCTGCTGAGTATCCAGACCATGCTGATGAGGTGCAAACCAAGCAAGATGAAATCAACCAAAACTGGGCCAGACTCCAAGAGAAGGTAGAGTTGACTTCATTACAGTAGGATTTATAAGGTTTGATGTTTCATGTGTAGAGATCAGTGACAAAAAACACTTGAGATGATAAATGAAAATGATGATCTGTTTAAAATTTTTTTACTCACTTTATAAAATTTAAGACCAATGAAGAAAAAAATGGGTAGTTTTCAGTGTAAATTTGTTTGAAATTAACAACCATGCAAAAGTTTGGGCAGGTTACATTGTAAAATTGTTAACTTAAACTGGGTATTATACCTTGCCGTGTTAATATATTTGAATGTTACATGTTTTTTGCAAAATTTTCATACTTTTTGTACCCATAGGCCGAGGAAAGGAAAAATCGCCTGGATGACTCCTACCACCTCCAGAGGTTCTTGGCCGATTTCCGTGACCTTGTCTCCTGGATCCACGAGATGATGGCCATTATCTCTGCAGATGATCTGGCCAAAGATGTCGCTGGGGCAGAATCTCTTCTGGAAAGACATCAAGAACACAAGGTACATTTATTGATATGTAAAGAAATAGTTGTCAGTAGTACATAGATTGCGTGTAAAATAAAATAAATTTTGCAATGGAAATTGTTTTGGATGTAGTCCTAATTTATTTTGGGAATTATATAAGGACCATTGCACCTTATTTTGACATATATTCTGTTCTTGTACAGGGAGAGATTGATGCTCGTGAAGACAGTTTTAAGACCACAGCAGATGCAGGCAAACAGCTTCTGGAATCTGACCACTATGCCACTGAAGAGGTCAAAGAAAAGGTAGAGAACTTACACAATGGGCAAAATAAAATCAATAAAGGAAAATATACTCATCACATTTCCTTCCCCTAAGTGATTATCACATGCAAAAGAATAAAGAATTCAAAAATTAAACACATTAAGTAAATTGATAACCATACATGTTTACAGCAAAGAAAATTTCCAATCGTGTGGAAAGAGAATATCAGGTTCTTATACTCAATCGGAGTTCAGCCAGTAACAATTATACCTTGTTTTTCTTTGTATTCCTCAGCTGGTCCAGCTAGCCAACGAAAAGACAACTCTGTTGGAACTGTGGGAAGAGCGTCGTATTCTTTATGAACAGTGCATGGATCTACAGTTGTTCTACAGAGACACAGAGCAGGCTGATGCATGGATGAGCAAACAGGAGGTGAGATCACCTAGTAAAAGGAATAAAATGTCATTATATCTTGTTTTATATTGATTCAGTTTTAATAAAAACTGAATTAACAAAGATCCTTAATGTTGCATTTTCTGAAATGTTTTTTATCACCGAGTCAAGAAAGGATGTATTGGCTCGATCTTTAGAAACTGAAAAGAGGAAGGGTCATTGTTGTAATGTTTAACCCCTTCCACTGCATTTGTGTTTCCAGGCATTCTTACAGAATGAGGATCTTGGAGACTCCCTGGACAGTGTAGAAGCTCTTATCAAGAAACATGAAGATTTTGAGAAATCTCTTGCAGCTCAAGAGGAAAAAATCCATGTGAGTATACCCCTTCATTCAATTTCACATAATTCTTTGAAAATTCTTTGATGAGCCAGTCTGACATGAAATAATCATGCTGAAAGTTTCAAGGGCTGTTTTATTATATTCAGTTACAACCCTGTCTGTTATTTCAGGCTCTCGATGAATTTGCAACCAAGCTCATTGAGAATGAGCACTATGCTGCTGATGATGTTGCAGCCAGAAGAGATGCAGTAAGTTGGCATAGTGGTTTGTTTAGTTTTAGTAGATAAAAAAGTCTGAATAACGAAGATATATTAAATGATTAACTGAAAGCCTTTTTGTCTATTGTCAATTTCTAAATTAAAATAAGATGGAACATACTGCAGAAATCTGTGAAGGATTGATTAAAAGAATGTTAAATGTCAAATTAATTCCTCTGAGTAGCTCCTCCAGAGAAGAAATGCACTGTATGAGAGATCTGGTGCAAGACGCCGCATGTTAGAAGATTCCCTCAGATTCCAAGTCTTTGAAAGAGACTGTGACGAGACCAAAAGCTGGATCAACGAAAAACTAAAGACAGCGTCAGACGAAAGCTACTTGGTAAGTTTTTTCATAGTGCAACCATTTCAGCAGTTTTAGAAGAATGCTGTGTGCAACAATTTTTTATATGATTATCAGCTCTTCACCTGGTTAGTGTCTGTTTAGTGTCAAGTAATATAATTATAGGAATTGCACTGCACACCAGAGAGCTGGCTTCTTTGTGTACAAAGTTCATTAGCACTAGTGTGTCAAATGTGCCATTTTACCAGGTACAATGTTCTGTACTGTTAGCATTTAGTCATATGAAAGTTGTAAATGAAGCAAATAAGCAGTTAGTTTTAAATGCAAAGCATCACCAATTGAAAATTTATCACTTACTTTTCTGAATATTTTGTTTCAGGACCCCACAAACTTGCAAAATAAAGTCCAGAAACACCAGAACTTTGAGCAAGAGCTTGCAGCCAACCAGAGTCGTATTGAAGCTGTCAACAAACAGGGCCAGGACTTGATTGACTCTAATCACTTTGCCTCGGACATTACCAGAGAGAGACTGGAGGAAATTCAGGAGTTGTGGCAACAGCTGAATGAACAGACAGAGAAAAAGAGTAGGTCTTTTTAAAATTTGTTGTATTTACACACGGAATTAAACAAGATTGATTTGATATAAGCTTGTTGGAAAGATTATTCATTTTTTTCTTCTGAAATATTGCTTATTCAGTTGCTCTTATTTGCACACAGAAGAAGAGTTTATCTTTAACCAAATGAGCAAACATTTTTAGTTCATTGTATCAAACATCTAAAAAAAATGGACCAACTGTAAGTACTACTCCTGTGTGAAGATGCTTCATACATTGTGTTAATTGCTTTGACTAAAGGTGGCCGCTTGAATGAAGCTAGTGAGCAGCAAGCTTACAACAGGAATGTGGAAGATGTCGAGCTCTGGCTGACTGAGATTGAGAACTTCCTGATGTCAGAGGATTTTGGGAAGGTATGCACCTGTTGACCCTAAGTTTGTCTTGAACTGTGACTGTAAAACTTTTTTTTATATTCATGCATCAATCCAGTTTAAGTTTTACTTGTTGACATAGCTTTAAGTTATGGAAGAAAGAAATGTCCAGCTAAATGTTATATATTTACCTTTATTTTGAAAAATATCCCAGTTTACATGCAATTAAGATTTGTTAATTTTGTTTATTGAATGTGGTTGAGTATGATTTAATCCCATGTCCCCTACTCTGTCTTTCTCTTTTTTCTTTATTTAAAGAAGTTTTCAATATAAAGGTGTTCTTCTCAGTAGCAGTAGATTTACACACATGTTAATGTTCAAGAGAGTTTAACTTCTTTTATTACATACCACATTCTGTTTTGTATAGTAAAAGTAGCTTTTTGGAAACTTAATTTAAAACTAGGAAAGCAGTGGAGAGTTCAGGCATCCTCCAAGGCAGCTCACTTTAAAAATAAATAAATTAATTAATAAATCAAGAAAGCACCACCAAAATCTAAAAAAATTTGAGTTATTTATTCTTGTTCTTCAAAAATTATGCAAGAAAGACAAATAGAAAAAAGCAAAGAATTATCTGTGAAGGACACTAAACAAAATAACATTCTCTAGGATTTTAATCTCTTTTCTCTTTCTTTCATTCCCACAGATTATCACCAAGGGAGTGAGTTCTCTTTACAGTTTCTTTCAATTGCTCAGTACATATACAACCCTGGAGAAATGCAGCAACACTTGCTAATGACATATTCAGTGGGTAATTTTGAAATGGGGTAATTTAATGCCCTGATGGCAAATTTAGTAATTATTTTGACACTTGTTTCCATGTTAATATAGATCAAAAGT